TGGTGGTGGAGGCGACGACAACGGCGATGGTGGGGGTGGGGGTCAGGGTGGCAATGATGGTCGCGGTGACTGCGGTGGTGGTGGTGGAGGCGACGGTGGTGGTCGTGGCGGTGATGGCGATGACGGCGGTGATGGGGGCGACGGGCGGCAGTGATGGGTGTGGTGATAGGCAATGACAGAGGTGGTGGGGGTGACGGCGACGACAATGATGGTGGTGGGGGCGATGATGACGGCTGTAGTGGTGGTGACAATAGGGTTGGTGGTGACGACGACGACGGTAGTGGTGATGGGGGGTGGCGGTGGTGGCAGTGGTGACGATGGTGGCGATGGCGTTAGTGATGGCGGTGGCATTGGTGGTGGCGGTGGTTGTTATGGTGGCAGTGGTGGTGGAAGCGACGACAACGGCTATGAGCGATGGTGGTGGTGGAGGCGACGATGATGGTGGTGATTGTGGTGGTAAAGGTAGTGGTGTGACGATTTCAAATACTATTTTTTTTTTAAATATTTATGAGAAATAATTTTCAGAAGTACTTTTAAAAAGTCATTTCAAACAAACCCTTAGGGGTTTTTTTTTTTATTAAATTTAAAGTGTTAATATTGGCCGTTAGATTTATTTTAAAATAAAATTTAAAGCGATATCAACCGTAAAAAATAAAAGTCATTTTGTTTATCTTTTGAGATTTAAATTGTAAGTTACTTTATTATATAGATATTTTAATATTTCAATCTAAAATAAAAACAAACTCAATATTTTGAAGAGCTCTAATGCAATTAACCTTATAAATATTGATCATTATCATAAACATCCAAAATGGTGGATGTTCCATGCCATTTGGTGGAAAAAAAATTTGATGACGAAACATTATTCTATTATTAATGGTATAAGAAGATAACATAGAGGTTAGGCATTTAGATAATATGTGATTAGGACCCTTATTATAATTTCATGAACAACCTAACTGGTATTGTGTTCAACAACTGCCCTATTAATTAGACCAACCAATGCATAGGATTCGTTTCGATACTCCGTATGTCAAATGAATTGAAGAGAGGAAATTGGATTTGTTTAGAGTTGTCACATCAAAGAAAGAATTGATAATAACTGATTGAATGAATCTCTCCCCCAAAAAATTAATAATGCACGTGGACCTCGAGTGATGCATGCATTATGACCAAAATGGATTATGAAAAGATAATATAACCAAACTACATTTGATTTTATTATAAGAAATAGAGAACAAACAATTAGACTTTATGTTAACAAAAAATGGATCAAATATGTCAGTAATGCCTCCACATTCATTGTTTAACCATTTTCGGGAGGACTCTTGCGACTATAGTATGATATTAAGTAAAATATGTATATATTGATAGGATATTAGGTGGCCTGTCAATAAAAAAAGGACATGTGAACAGTTACATCGGTTAGAACGCAAAAAAAGAGCTTGAGAAAGGCGTCGAAGAGTTATGTTAGACAGGGCCGAGTACGCCACCCAGAACCTAACATTAAATAAGATCTGACAATTCATTAATGTGGGTCTTGAGTGGTTTGACAGAATCATTAATAAGTGTCTAAATTCTCAAAAAATGTGGAGACAATCATTATTAAAAGGTATTAATGGCTATCATGCCGACATGAAGTCCTCGGCTCATCCTGAAGGTACTTGTTCCCACCTCGTAAATGCTCGGACGTAGGTGTCAAATGTCGAGATGAGGTATTTAATGATCGAAGGCTGGGCCATGAACGCTCGGCTATTACCGAGCAAGGGTCCACTCACCCGAAAAGACTAGTCTCAATAAGACTTGATGGGATGACAGTCATTATGTTGGGATATCAACATAGGTCATTAAACTCTAAGATGAGACTCAAGGGCAGCACCATAATTGCAAGTTTAGGTATATATACCATTCAAAAAGTTGGACTAAAGTACACAACCTCAAAAAGAGAATATAAATAGCATCATGACCCACATGCTGACTGACTTCAATTTTCAAGAGAATTAGTTGGGTACATACTAGACCTATTTTCATAATCTTTTGATTGTTTCAGGTTCATCATCCAGAATCATCCAACAGGTTACGTGGGCAATTACAACTGTTAAAGAATGCAAAGGGCGCCTAGAAAAGACGCCGAGGAGTTATGTTAGAAAGGGTCGAGTACATCCTAGAGCTTAGCATTAAAAAGGATCTGACCGCTCATTAATGGGGTCTTGAGTGGTTATAGCAGAGCCATTAATGAGTATTCAAATTCTCGAAAGATTTAAAGACAGTTATCATTACAAAATATTAATGGTCATTACGCCAACTTGAAGTTCTCGATAAACCTCGAAGTTGCTTATTCCTGAGTAATGAACACTCGAGCGTAAGTGTCAAACACCGAAAAGATGTATTTAATTACCATGGGATGAGCCATGAATGCTCGGCGATTCTTGAGCAAAGGTTCACTTGCCCAAAGTGAATATCATTAGAAGATTTGATGAGATGACACTCATGATACTAAGATATGAGTGTAAATCATTAAATTTTTAGATGTGACTCAAGGACATTGTTGTGTGTATTTTTTTGTTTATACACACGTTCTTGAGATTAAATCTATAGTTCCTTATTATGTCTATTAAATGTTGTGGTTTGTGTTTTTATTTTTATTTTTCTTTTTTGTTTTATAAGTTATGTATTTGGACTCAAATGCGGTATTTTGCAACAAATACACCATATATAATGGCACCCAAATAATAGGCAATTTTTTTTTCCAATTTTTTCTTGAATTTTTTAAAATGCCTAACAAATGTAGTTAACACAAAACTTGTTGAATTTATATCAATTACAAGGATTAGTCAATTAAAATAATATGTTGTGTGTTCATCTTAAGAATACCTCTGTTTTTTTAAAAACAATAATATAAATATTTTTTAAAAAATTCAATAGCTCTAAGTAAAATGCGAGTAATAACAATTAATTTATAACAATTTAGTATAAAATAGATTTATAACTTTAAAATTTATGCTCCGTTTGGTACGATGAATAAATAGAATGATGAAAAGTTGGAAGGATGAATAAAATATCATGTTTGGTAAGGAAGAAAAATAGGAAGGATGAAAAAGTAAATGACTTAACTTTCTTTCCAACTCACTAAAATCAATTCCTCCAAAATTGAAAAGAAAGTAGATGAAAAATTAATTATTTGTGTTGAGATGTATCTTATTTGTCTATATATTATGTATAAATTAATATAATTTAAAAATAAAAAATAAAAATTTAAAATTAGAAAAAATATTTTTTTTATATTAACTAAGGGTAAAAATTTTCGATTTAACACGAAGACACGACTCAAACTTGAAACAAATTTTATGACATGAACTTGATTATAACTCAAGACGCATTTGAAAATGACTTAATACGCGAACAAAAAATATAAAAAACTCACAATTATCTGGCTCAACATGAATCTAACACGACACGATTCGATTGTCACCTCTAATTTTAATCGATATAAAAAAAAATTAATTATTTTTATTTTTCATTCATCCAACTAAATATAAAAGAAGTATCTCTTTTATTTTCTAGCCTTCTTATTTTTGACCTTTTCCAGAATATTAAACTTTTTAAGAGGCATCAATTGTACATGAGATGAGATGAGATGAGAGAGAAAAGAATGAATGAATCAGATTTCACGTGTTTGGGAAGGCATGCCGGTCATAAAGCGACAGATGGTCCTGATCTGGTGGGGTCCAGTCCCGAATACTAAAGAACATATCCTGAACAACACCAACATACATATCACACTAGCGCCTCTCTCAATTATTTCTGTGTTGTCCTTTCTTTAAAATTTTTGGCGTTTCTACCACCTTCCGTCCCTCGGCCCCCACCCCTCACGCAAAACTGACCCCACTGCTTCCTCTCATTTCTCCGACGTGATTGCTCTATATCAAATTCAAATTGGCTTGCCTAGGCCGGTTTGGTTTGTTGGACAAAACCAACCCCCCTTGCTTGTAGTTTCGTATGTCATTGACATTCCAAATCAAATTAAGATGTGATCTAGAAGACGTCCTTAAAACCCAACGACGAAAACAATTGGCTGAAGATTCTTTCTTTTCTACAAATTTTTGATAAAAATGAAAATCACATAATACAACGTAAATCCATGTGAATTATTTTTAAAGATGTTGGTGATCGTTAGATGAATTTATGTAAGATTGTCAAATAAATTTATTAAAATTTATCATATTTTATATTATAAATATAAATTATTATATATTATCAAATATAATACCTATTTATTAATACACAAGGATGACCTGATTTACTTTTGAAGGACGGAATGCATTAGCGTAGGATTTGGGGAGTTGCAATCCTTTTGTTTGACCTTTTGGATTTTAATAAATCTTGTTTGGATTCATTATTGATAATTTAAATGTAAAATCAAATTGAAAATATAAGATATATGGGTAGGATGTACATAATCCCCCCACACTCTCACATTAATTGCGGAAATTTAAATACAGGTCAGCTATAAGCGGAGCCAAAAAAATTTGGTGAAGGTATTCATGGGGGGGGGGGGGACTGGTCAGACAAGATCCACCGGACAACTTCTGATATTCTTCCTATTTTAGTATTTGTTTTTAATTTCTCATTAAATATATCTCAACATCTCCTCCTCAACTCCACCCACCATGATCTATAAGGAATCTCTGAACCATCACGTACAGAGAACATTTTTCACAGCACTGAGGTTTACCCTTCTTAAAATTTTTTATTTTAATTTATCTTGTAATAATGGATCCCATCCAAATAAAGAATTTTTACTACTACATATTTAGTAAAGTTCCAACCACACACATACTATTTTATAAATAAGGAAGATGCATGCTTTTATCAGTTCTCGTGCCGATCACGTGTATGACAGCCCCATCCATCCCAAAGTACCATGAGCTTGGTCCGTTTTATAAACAACAAAAAAATAAAAGAAACCCGTTCATTTCTAATTGCCGGGTCAAAGTGAAACTGAACAATCCCTTCATTCACTGCACAATAAAGATAGTAACTCTGACAATGACCTGCCCGTACTAATCAATTCAAAAGGGACCGTTTCTTGTGAAAAATAAAGAACCTCACAGCCAGATTTAGCAGGTAGACCCTCCCTCTCACATCCCCCATTATTATATGCCTTCACTAATTTGTCATCTTCCTCCTCCCCATGCCATGTCCCACCCAGACTTGGCACAACCTCTGCCCAAAATTAACACTACCACCTATTTTTAACTTTATTAAAATATAATACAATCTAATCCTGGTACTCTGTCGCTCCCTTTTGACGAGGACTGCAGCCAAAACAGACCCCACCACACAATGGGCATCATTCAAGTCTCAACGTCTTCCAAAGCTAACCTGCGCCGTCCGTTGTAGATATAGAGATAGTTCAGCCTTCCGATAGCCCGACGCTTTACGTTTCTCCTTTTTCTTGAATTTTTAACCAAAGGATAACAATAACAAACCGTCTAATGTACGCAACGATGCGCAAAATACGGTACACTTTTGTCCTCTTTTCTTCTTCTTACACCCAGTTTTGGCGTGACTACACAACTAAACCCTCATCCTCGTGCCTGGTCTAACACTCTTTATTATTAAAGCCGTGCGCCACAGTGCATCCGATGATCTGCTTGCTGCAGTCTGCCCACACAAGGACAAGGTCCGGTTTAATAGTGGGGACAGTCCCTCTGTGACAAACAGCGACATTGCCGCAAGTCTTACGTGTCAGCCTTTCCACTGCACGTGTCACTTTCAAGCTTCTTCCCGTTGACTTCCCCACTTCCCTCTCCTTCACGCGTACCACCACGCTCGTCCTATTAAAAAACGGATGCACTTCGGGACCCACCACGGGTCCCACACCCATTCCTTTGGCCGTACCATCTAATCTTATGCCAAAGAAAAAGGATAACCCCGAATACAAAAAAATAATCAGCTGAATAAAACAAAATGATCGCAAAAAGTTCACAAAAAATTACATGGAATGGAATCAAGAGTCTGTAAACTGGGCATTAATCCTCCTCCATTTTCGAAAAATTTAAAGAGGACATTTCAACATTCTTGCTTTTTTTTTTTTTTAAGGGTAATATTATCTTTGCTCAGGAGGAAATTTTAACGTGAAGACTAGCGTTCTTGACGGATTTACAGATGGGGCAAGTGTGGACAGACGAACCACACACACTACAGAGGCAGAGATGTCTGCACGGCAAAAGCAACACGCACGATTCCTCTTTCCCACAGCTTCTGCACCATCTGTTCCCGTTGTTGTTGTTGTTGCTTCTCTTACCATTGCAATTGTTTGTACCAGTGCAATCATCGTTTTTGGTTTTCCCCTTCAACAACTTTCTCTCTCCTCCGCTCTGCATTAACATGCGCTTATCATCATCGTCGTCGTCATCAACACAACAGAAATTGCTGCCAAAACACGACTGTGCATCGTCAACTAATGCCGCCGCCTCGTCTAAACCGCCGTTGTTGCGAAGGCGCTGCTCGTCCTCAACCTGCGCTAGGACTTGCTCGAGATTGCTTCTCAGAACGTTGGCCGTGGCCTCGTTGGTTTGAGCCAGGTCTCGCCATATCTGGTTCTCTAGACACAGAGACTTGACTTTCTCTTCCAGCGCCCAATTCAACTTCCCTATCTTCTCGATTTCCTCTTCCTTCGCTCTCAATCTCTTCTTCATACCTTCCGCCATCGCCGCTATAATCCTATTTGAATATGTTTTTCGTCGTTCTTCAATCTCCAATCTCACCTTCTCCGTCTGTAAATACATGCACAAATACACAAATTAAAAAACACATCATCAGACATCAATACACATACATATATAGCAAAATAAGTAAAACTCGACAATATGTACAGAGACACAGAGTGCTTAGATTCATACATGCTGAGCGATAAAACGATCGATGTCTAATTGTTGTTGTTGGATCTGCAACGAAATGTCTTCACCGAAAAAGCTGAAAGCACTGCAACGGTTGTTGTCGTTCGGATTCTGACCGTTGGGGAAGGAAAGCATAGGATTGATCGTATCTCTGGAGCGCTTTCTTGAAACGGGAAGAGTGTTGGTGAGGCCACTGTCTGACTTCATTGGCGTCTTTGCCGCAACCAAATCGGTAATTACAGAGCCGTACATCGGCGGCAAAGTCTCCGTTGTCGTTCCTGATAACGGAGGAACTCCAAATCCAATTGGAGTTCCATATATGTTTCCGTTGGCTTCAAGGATATTCATCATTTCTCTGTACATGTAAATTCATCAGTGATATTGAGAGAAACAAGCAGTAAAGAGGATTTAGGCAACATAAACAGAGAGAAAAGAGGAAGGCAAATGAACGTACCTGTTGCTTCGAAGTTGAGGAGGGAAGAGACTGAGATGTCTAGCTTCAACAGCCATTGAGAACCACGTATGTTTCTTTTTCAACTTGCCTCTCTCCCACTACGTATTTATATCTCTGTTTATATGCCCCCTTTTTTCTTCGTTTTGCTTGTTTGGGTTTGCAGACAGAGAGGGAAATAGAGAGATGGAGAGGGGAGAGAGGGGGGTGGGGAAATGAACAAAAGCATGCAATAGAGGTGTCAAGGCCGGATGGAGAGGTTTATTTAGGGTTTGGTTTGGAGAGAGAAAAAGTAAATGAAAAGATGTTTGTTTTATGGGGGGAGAAAAAGTCAAGAAAGATAAGAGGGAGAGGGAGAGGAGAGAGAGATTTTTTTTTTTTTTTTTTTGGGGTTTCGTCTATTTTTGAGATTCGGTTGCCAGTAAAGCCCCTATTCCGATTTCCATACCCTGCAAAGGTTCCGGTCAGTCCGTAATTTCAGCGGAATTTCAGGGGCTATTCCGGAATAGAGGGCCTATTTTATCTTGATTGGAGTTGATATAATAGGGGTTGAGTCATCCATCCATAAATAGGAGGAGGGATGGGGATGATATGTGTAACTGACAATCAGAGCATCTGCCACGTTTTACAACCCTACTGGAGCCTGCCACGTCTGGGCACGAAAGCACCTAAGTGGGCCTCACCGTCTCACGTGCGGTGCTGGTTACATTTGTTTTACCAGCATGGGAATAATGTGTGCACTACTTGCCATGGTAGGGCCAGCTTGCCATGTGGGACCTAACGTGGGAGTTGGACTTGGGGCTGATGGGCTGTTTGGGTATCCCTTTGCTTACTAAACGATAATCTTGCTATATGAGTGATGAAACTCGATCTAAACTATGTTTGATGTCAAACAATGTCTTAATCATACAGAAAAGGTCATGTTAAGGTCCATATGAACAGAAGGATAACATTTGGGGATTGTAAGTTGGTGTTTCTTCCTTCAAAGTTATAAATATATATGTGGCCAATTGTCAAAGTTAAGTTTAATTTTACATGATTCAAGACAACTGATGAAATTATCAATGAAATTAATGCATGGTTGCTTCTGTCTTGTCCATTATCAATTACCTGGATCTGCCTGCACTCTTCTTAGGTGAGACCACCATAGTAAGTCATAGAAAACCATGTCGACAATATAATCTTTTGTTTGTTTCATATGCTTTGATGCTCTTCAAATCCTAGAGTATCTTCAACAAAGGCATTTGTTTTCTCCTGTGCAATCTTCATTCACACCCATGTAATTGTTACTTCGGTGTTATCGCCATATGCCGAGAAGTGGAGATGTTTCTTTAGAGGCAAAAAGACAAGAAGATTATAGTTTTATATCAGCCTCGATTATAGATAGGAAGTGATGCTTTCAAGGTAATCTTCTTTTTAAAAAAAACTAGCAACGAAACTTTGTATACTCTAATATGTGTTTGTGTTGGTAGCCTTATGCAGTGTTTAGACAAATTAGCTTCAATTAAGGAAACAAACATATCAGACTCCATAGTAGTATCCAAAAACTTTGTCTCATTACTACTAGAGCTGTTGTACGGATGATTTGAGGACGGCATAAGCTTACATATAGTGAATGAATTACTTTTTACTAGTATGTTAGTGGTCTTTTCTGTCCCCCCCCCCTCCCCCTCCCCCTCCCCCTCCCCCACAAGGGCGTGTTTGGCAATTATCCACAATATTTGACTGGTTTGGATTTAGTTTTCTAACCTATCCAATGAAATTTATTGTAAGCCGGTAACAATGTTGGATTAGTATATTTAATTTTATCCAATCCTTTATTTGGATAGTAATTTGTGATATTGTATGCCCCATGTACCAACAAACTCTTCTTTTTTTTTTTGTGAAGTTTTAAAGCTTACAAGAGGGAACTCATATCTCTATGCCTCTTAATTACGAGGCTTAAATGACCTCCTTGTTACAAGGTCGGGGACTCGTTATCCAACCTAAGAAAGACTGAAAGAGTGTAGTGGTTTATGGTGGTAGGTCTTAAAACCATAACATGATTTATGGTAATAGTCCTGGAAATCATACACCCAAATGGTTAGTTTATTAAATAAGGCACAAGATATTATGATGCAGTGTTGAGTTAGGCCATTTAAAAACAGGGTCACAACGCTTTGAAAACGCCACAGTTACCTGCGATTTCCCGGACCCCTCGATCTTCTTAGATTTACAACTACCGAGGAGATTAAATTTGATATTTGGTACTTTTGGCACAGGAATTTTTACCAACCTTGTTTGTATACATTGACTAATGTTAAACTATTTAGTATATATGTACCATTCACAGTTTCATAGGATTGGACTACTGAAAACTTCATCAATGTCTGACCCAATTATACCAAGGATTCAATATTAGTTTTTGTTCCAATCAACCTAAAAAATCGTGAGCTATATCTAATCAATGAGAGAGAGAGAGAGAGAGAGAGATTCCCCTCTAGGACTAGGGGGTAAAGGAAAGATGAATGGATTCCCCAATTAGCATTTTTTTTCCACCTTTCTACATCTTTCAAAACTCCATTATTGCTCCCATCAACCCAACCACACTTTCGTGTAGCCACCACCGAAATTTAAAGTAAAAGTGAAAAAAGGGCCAAAAGGGAGGTAATGGGTTACACAACACATTTCATTTGGATTATTTTTACACAAAAAAGATGCTGATTTGGGGGGACTAGAATTTGCTTAATGCATGATATCATGAGCAAGCAAAATTGTTCAATAAGTTGAAAAAAGCATATAGACGGAGGGGATCATGTGTGTTTGTGCTTCCCCCCTTTTAAGGGCAATTGAAGCTCCTTGACTTGTTTGGGTTTCTTTTTTGCTTCGCTTTACGTTCAACTTAAAGTTGCATTGCATATTGTATTCTACATGTGATCCCCTACCTTTTTTTTTAACTTCCATCTGGAGAGAATCTCTCTCTCTCTCTCTCTCTCTAATATGTTTAGTTGTTTACAGAGAACAGTGAGACTGACAGATTCAGAGAGTGGTTTTATGTCTTTGTGGAGGTGATGAATAGAATGAGATTCCCAAAAACTGAGAGAGAGAGAGAGAGAGAGAGACCCACCACAAAACAAAGCTAAAATTAGAGAACACTTCTCAATTTTCTACACCTTTCTTAAAAGTGGGGGTTGTGTATGACAAACTTACTGTGATGTTTCCTTGTGTATGGCCTGAGTAGCTATCATTATTTCTTGTATTGGAAACATACCTTACTTGTGCTCAGGACACTTAAAAGAGGTTAGCTTTGCTTCTCTGCCAATATCTGACCGTTTAGGTTGGGAAGACAGTGAGAGAACCTGCAGTCACGGGCTTGTTGAGTCCCACCTCCTTCATTTCATTAATTCATTGGTTCCTACACATTGTTGTGATTTACTTACCTTACTATTTTGCTGTTACAGGCTGGCTCTATGATTTTATCTTTGTTTTGATCAAGTTTGGTAAAGAGCAGTTTTCATGTGGGGATGACCAAGTCAAAGGTGGTTAGTTACCCAACCTTGTTCATCTAACACTTCTAAATTTTCTGAACAAATCTCTTTGCTGTGCACTCTATCACTTAGTGCCCCCATCTGCCTGCACCAAAGACACGCACCCCAGAGGTGAACAAAAGTATATCCCTAGAGATTAGGATCTACACTTTTTCAAAACAGGTTCAACAACTTGTTCAATTTCTACACATAATCGTCTTATCATTCATCTTTACATTAAGAAAATGGGGAAGAATTATGCTAATACAATAGTAAATACTGTTTTATCCCATCATCTTTTGTTGATAAACCTCATTATTTATTCCTTTTCACTCTTTCAACCATATCTTTATTTTTAGGTTCTTACCCCCTTGCTCGATGCTAGCACAATGTTTTAAGTTTTGCAGAGAAAGAAAAGAAGGGAGTCTATATGAAGAGGAAATAAACAATTCCTTGCTTTTGTTGGAGGCAATTTCAGGAAAAATAAATAAAAAGGAAAACATTCACAGTCACTCTTCTTGTTAGGAAGTACAAAGGATATAAAACTGTTGATAACTAAAACATTTTACGCAAATTTGAGGCGAAACCACTAATCAGTAAATCAACTTTCTTTTACTTCCAAATCTTCTCACTTTGGGAAAAAAACAAGATAATCGGTTAAACGATTTACGAATTCTTCCATTTCTCTCCTCTTCCTCCTCGTGGGAAATTTTCTCAATGATTGGAGTAAATATTTTCTCCAATGGTTGAGGTAACTCACCTTTCCTTCGACTTATGGGAAGGAAATAATCCTTTCCTTCTTATTTTTTTTTTTTTTCCTTTTCTCTGCAAATCATCCCATCCCACAAAAGAGAAATAAAAGACTACACTGGGTCAAGACTTTCCATTACAGCCCGATAAAAAAAAGGCTGCCGTTGGGGGAGTCCAAATAGTAGCTAGTATGTTTGGGCCGACACCTTGGATGAGTGTTCCTGAAACCCACTAGTGACACATTGGACTTGTTTGGATTGAATACGTAACTATGGTGAAGTACAAGCGTTTTTTTTTTCTTGGGATATTTATCCACGAGCGCGATGCTACCGGAATAAAATTTGAGAATTTAATAATTGTGATCATTAGATTGTCAGTAGATTTCAATATTAAAGTATTACTGGGTCTCAACACATTCAATTTAATGATCATAATACATTTAAGTCCTCAAATTATGTCTCAATAGTATTAGTGCACCCACAATGAAGGGGTTCAAAGTTCAAACTCTAACATATGCTTCAATGATTATGTTCCTCATTCTACTTAGGTTTAAGGTTGCTTCAATTTGTAAATATCGATACCCCAAAAAAATAAAGTTATTCTAATTAAACCCAACAAAATTTCCGACTTGAGAAAATTTTGTTTGAGGTTCAATAAATTTTACCTGTTAAATTTGAAAACATAAAATTTTGTTCGGCAAATTTATTTGTCAAATGTTTTATCTTAAATGATATATCAAAATTGTATATATTAAATGTTTGGTGAAAATAATAGACCACACTAATCCAACCACTCATACCGATTAGAGTTACAAAATTTTGATAAATGATTTGATAAGGATTACATTACTCCAATTTTATTTTTTGGTTTAATAATTAGAGGGTGTCTAAGTCAATTTATGTGCATCTTGATTCTTGACTAATCCTCTTTTTCGTCTAATCAAAAATAGGTCATTCATAATAAAATTAGAATATTCATGAAAGATAAATTAATCATATTTAACCCTAAATATTAGTAAAATTAAAATTCATAATATCTAAATTTATAATTCATTTCTATTATATTGCCAACTCGAATTGTTGTCAATAATGTGGCAATTGCCAAGTGCAATGAGAGAAGGTGAGTGGGTCCTCCATCCACTTTTTTAGATTTCAAGTCGCTGTCGTGGCAAGGTGATTTTCTGACCTGGAGGATAAGTTGATGTGCTAGAAACTGGCGTGAAAACGTAGACCTGACAGAGGAGAGGGTGAGAAAATGGAGACGACCATTGCTGCCCTAAATCAAGCTCTGTTTCCCTCTAATGCTCGACCCTTTTCCAGTAATTTTAGCACTGGTTCAGTTTCGGCTGTTGGGTTTTCTCTACCATGCGTTCAATCTCCATCCCCAATAATCGCAGCAGATATGTGGCTACTAGAGCTTCAATTGCGGTGGAACAACAGACGCAGGCTAAGGTTGCTCTTATCAGAATTGGCACCAGAGGGAGGTATTGTTTCTTCTTTCCTGACTTTTTTTTTTCTGGGTATGATCTATTTTGTCTAGTCTAGCATTGAATGCTTATAAATCCCCTATTAATGTTATATGAGCCTCAATTGTTGGTGTTCACACCAATGTTTCATCTTTTTCATTTATCTTTGAATCAAATGGGTACTGATGGTGTTTCATGATTGGGTTTGGCACGTGATGATATAGCTGTACATGTGTTGATTGTGAGCGTATTGTGTTTCTGTTTGGATTTTGTAGTAAACATTATGTCGCAATCAAAGTCACATGAACATACTTAAGAAAATAAACATAAGCCTTCAATCCCAGAACCCAAACTTTTTCCTGTTATGTATATACAGCCACATACTGTACAACTATATGAGTGGTTAGATTGCTGATTTTGTACCCACATTATACAGCATTGAGTCAGAATGCATATATTTAAACCATGCAAACACGGTCTCTGGATGGTAAAACACTATGAAGTATTGTCTTCCAAAAGTAGATTATCACCAGTACAATGGTTCTTCTGGAACTGCTGACCGACTCTTAGATATTTCCTGTACTATTCTTCGTTTGCCTGGAGATCATTGTTGTGTGTTATCACAATGAGATGTGTACCGTGCTCTCTTTCTCTTTTAAGTAATGCCTGAGTCGCAGGATTAAGGTCTGATCCAAATTGAGCAAAGGCGGCCACTTCGCGATGTGGATTTCTCTAAAAGATCCTTTTTTCTGGGTGATCATTAGGAATTGAATAATCACACTCACAAACTACTTCCTGACATAAGAAAATTGGAATAATGGGCAAGATTAACTGTCACAATATCCGCAATTATGTGGGGGGAGGCAAAAACCAATTTGGAACCATAACATGACTCCGATCTCACACAGGGCATGTGCCATCCCCATAATAACAACATTTTGGTGCAAAATGAACCACTATAAATGGTTACCCTTTTACCTGTTTGTAGTATATTGGGAAGAAAACTGAGCAATAAAAATCCAAGGCAGGTGATATAGGATTCCAATTGGATTTTCTGCATGGAGGCTGATGCTCGTGGTGACACCCCAGTTATGTTTCATAGCTTAGAAACAAAGGAACGAGCGGGTATATGTAATTAATGAACAATACCCCATACTTTAACTGGTACAAAGATGGGTTTACTTTGCAGAGGAGAAGAAGCCCAGAGAATCCTTTCAAAGTAACTTACTCAGTGACAATGTGTACAAATAATTAGAGTCAAGCATGTTTTTGATGCCGCCTACTTTTGATAATTCATAGTATTGACCCATTGCATAGGATCTTGTTGGTCTAATTCTTAATCCAGGTATTTTGGACTCGCATGCTCTCTTATGGGTTATCTCTAACTTTCCCTTGTGTAGGACAGCCCATTAGCCCTGGCCCAAGCTTATGAGACACGAGAAAAGCTCATGGCGACACACACAGAGTTGGCTGAAGAAGGGACTATTCAAATTGTTGTAATAAAAACTACAGGTGATAAAATATTAAGTCAACCACTTGCAGACATAGGTGGAAAAGGCTTGTTCACAAAAGAAATAGATGAGGCACTCATAAATGGTGAAATTGACATCGCTGTCCACTCAATGAAAGATGTTCCAACATATTTGCCAGAGAAAACAATTTTGCCTTGCAATCTTGAACGTGAGGATGTTCGTGATGCATTCATTTCTTTGAGTGCCACTTCACTAGCAGAGCTTCCGGTGGGAGGCATCGTGGGTACTGCTTCACTTAGAAGAAAGTCACAAATACTCCATAGATATCCATCACTCAACGTGAGTATATTCTGTTGCCTATCCTTGATATGATGACCAAACAATATCTTGAGAAACAGTCTGGAATCAATTTTTATCAGCTACAAGATCATGTTATGTTGCTCAAATAAGGCATTGTAGTTTTCTGTGTACTATTCAACTGTAATTTACAATGAATTTTTGCGCAAGTGTTTAGGCACATCAATATTGATTTGGCCACCACAAGTGCCACATATTGTGTCAGGCAAAACATGATTTTTCTTATTAAGCCAAGGCTGAAGGGAATAATTTGGTCTCTTTTATTTGTGTTGCAAAATCTGTGGAGTGATTTGTTGAAGAGTTCAATGTTGTCTCTATGTTGCTTCAGCTTCACGTATTTGATTACTATTATCTGTAGGTTCTGGAGAATTTTCGAGGCAATGTTCAGACAAGGTTAAGAAAACTTAATGAAGGGGTTGTCCAAGCAACATTATTGGCATTAGCTGGACTCAAACGCCTAAATATGACAGAAAACGTTACTTCCATTCTCTCTATTGATGATATGCTTCCAGCTGTTGCTCAGGGGGCAATTGGAATTGCCTGTAGAAGTGATGATGAGAAAATGGTACATCTCATTTTGTTCTCCCAGAACTTTGTTACAAAGAATTTTTCAAATATGTTTTTGCGGTCTGCATGTCCGATTATATGTCATTCACAGCAATCCTGGACCTCCTCTTCACTTTTGTAACAGCTTGTGAGTTACTGCATTAAGACGTTCTACCTAGTTGGTTCAACTAACTTATTTGTACCAGCCTACCTTAAAACGACATCTTTCAAAAATTTTACCCTAGGGGGAACTAAAAAATTTATCAGTACATTCAGGTTTGACACAAAATTCATTAGATTCTCATGGTGGTTTCATTTGGTGAAATTACACCATTGTTTTGAACCATATTTGCAAAAAAGAGATGGATAGCAATATGCAAACATAAACATAATGTTGTGCTGCTTAATGAACTATTGCGATCCACATGAGAATATATGAAATTTTTTAGGTTAAATCCAGTTCCCTCTGATATTGAGTACTTCATAATGTTTCGCTGCATTTTTGTTTTCTTTTTTTTTTTTTTGGGATGAAATTTTAGATATATTTACTGTCTTCTGAGGGGGATTCGCTCCACCGCACTTGCTTCATTCTTTCAGATTTTCTCCAGCAGCGATGCCGGAATTCTTTTTCTGGCCTCTATAATTTCTTGCCTGAATGATTTTCTTTTCAGGCTAATTACCTCGCTTCATTAAATCATGAGGAAACAAGATTGGCAATTGCATCTGAGAGGGCTTTTCTGGAGACGCTGGATGGATCTTGTCGCACTCCCATTGCTGGATATGCTTGTCGAGACAAGGATGGAGATTGTGCTTTTAAAGGGTTGGTGGCCTCCCCAGACGGAATCCAAGGTAAGACATTTGTGGCTCAAGGATGATATATTCATGATGTTATGTTCTGCCTCTGTTAGATTATAGAATCACCAAATCTTTATCATTGGTTTCTTTCCTCTCATTGTTTCAGTGCTTGAAACTTCTAGAAAGGGCCCATATGCTCTTGAAGACATGATACTTATGGGGAAGGATGCTGGCAAGGAACTTCTCTTGCGAGCTGGTCCAGGACTTTTTGAGAGTTGTTGATACAAATTTCATCTTCCATAGAGAGGAAGATCCAAGTTTCATCTTCCACTCGGTTAGATTCCAATGAGTTCGTTCATCCTTCTGTTCTTGTAACTTTGGTGGAAATTGTTTTCTGATTAGTTTTTCACTAGAATAGTGTTATATCAGTCACGAAGGGTTTTGATCATAATCATTCTTTTAATGAGTAATTTATGTCTCTCTTTTGCTCTCTGTGTGTGTTGTACGTGTTGGGGGTGAAGTGGCATGAATCCACTAACCTGAACATGGAGATTGTATTTCCAAAAAAAACATGGAGATTGACTTGGTAGAATGGCTACAATGTCCATGGTTAGCATTAGCTTTGATTCTTTGACAGGTTCAGAAACATCTAGCAGTAAAAGTTGCAGGCCTTCATGAAACAAACAATGTGCTTGAATATTATGTAGCGTATGGCCAGCAAAGTTTGCCAAAAGTTTATTGAACCCAGATAATTCCAAAGAAGTCGCGAGTTCAGTAAATTCCATATTGTTCAACCTTCTTTCGAGCATTCAAGGATCTCATCACTAGGAACGTTTTCTTTCTTTTCATTTTTCTTTCTCTGGTCTTGGAAACATCGGAAACTATGAATGTATAGAACATGGGCAGATCAGCAGAGGGTAGATTGTTTGGGGCGGCACCAGCATTATTGAAAATCAGATCCAAAGGTACTTGACAACATCTTTAAATAGCTGCCGGAAGTAACCGGCTTTTTGCTATAGAGCACAAGCAGCTAAAAAGCAAAAGAGCGGCCAATAGCTTCCATGGGCTAGAGAGAGAGAGAGAGAGAGAGAGGCAGGCCTCATAAACCTTGTTGACAAAGCAAAACTACCAATGCATGATGCATTGCATTACTTGGATTATGCATTATATAAAGGTACCAACCCCTCGAAACCCTTCTCAAATTGTCGTTCAATATTCAACTCTCTCTCTCTCTCTCTCTCTCTCTCAAAATCATGAGTCAGTACGATCAGAACCAAATTCCTGGTATGCCTGAGATTGATTAATTTTTCATTGTTGCTCTTGGTTGATCTTGTATTTGACATAAAGGTCCATTCTGAGATTCACGTTGAATCATTTTGCAGTAGCATATCCTCCACCTATAGCTGCGTACCCTCCCCCACCCATGGACGGGTATTCTCAGGGACCCTATGTTATGCCACCACCACCAATCGGTTATCCCACAAAAGATGACCATAATGCTCAAGGGTATGCCCAGCAGCATCCTGCTGTAGAGACTACAAGCAGAGGTGATGACTTCTGGAAGGGATGGTAAATCTCTCTCTCTCTCTCTCTCTCTCTCTCCACACAATCAAAATTACTGCTATATTTGTACCCTAACATCATTTTGTTGCCTTTTTTTCTCTGCAGTTTTGCTGCCGTGTGCTGCTGCTGTGTCTTGGATATGTGCTGCTGCTGAGACTGTAACGGTTTCACTGTCTACAACTTTTATCTATGTGCCATGTAACAAAGGAAAAAGAGCTCAAAGCTGTTATAAAGCTTTTAGTCTCATTATTCATGTTTATCTATCAGGTTTTACCATTGAAATTTCTGATACATTCAGACTCGTGCTCAATTTTTTGGTTTTGGTCTTTTTGGAATGAACACGTGGGCATACTGAGCCTAACGTCCATGTAACTTCATGTTTCAACTGGCTCATGAAAGGGGATATTTAGCATGGTTCCGAACTTTCTTGAATATTCTTTGATAGACCAAACGGTGGACTGGTTTAAGATAAATCGTCAACCCTGGCAACCATACACAAAGAGAGAGAGAGAGGGGATGTGGGGGGGAACAAGGTCTGCCTATAAAGACCAGAAAAGCTCGCAAGAAAAACACAAACCATCACATATCAAAACCATCTTAACAATGACGTTGAAATACCATCAGTTGCAATCCCAATTCCCTGTACAACTTCTTAATAACATTTGTTTGTATAGCACCATAAATCATTTCTTTCCTTGGTTAAGTAATTCATTAGCTGCATCAACCAAAGTTCTACTTTGCACAGCCTAGACATACTTCACATACCAAAAAGGTGCAAGCCATGAAAGAGAGACAAATACAATGTAGCATCATGACACATAGCAGAGTTGCACTGATGAATATTTTAGCACTTCATTCCATGGTCATTCCAATGCAATCACTTAATCCAAAAGTCAGCTAAAAGTCACAAAACAAACCACAATCTCATCATCCTCTCATCCACATCCAACTATGAATATCCAACCCAGCCCCTCAAATAGGTCAAGGAGTGAGTACATAGTTAAAAAAGTAGTGTCAATACCATGTTAGACAGCCTACTAGTGACTAACACACTTGCGTACCACAACAAAGATGCTCACCTATTTCCTTTTTCAATTAACTGCCTGGCTTCACCCAGCCATTTTATGATGTCCAAGGCCTAGACGTATTTCAACTGTTTAGAGTCATTGAAACACAATCTGACAGCAGATTGATTTCAATTCAAGATCCATAGAGCACATATACCATTAATTCCACATAAATAAACCAAGAATAACAGAAAGTACAAGCAGAAGACATTAAATTTCATAAAGATGTTTTTGGCTAAATCTATATCCCAAAACAATCACCACATGCTAAAATATACAATCATGAGGCAACCCACAATTAGCTACATTCTGAGAACTGAACTGCCCGAAGAAGCCATCTTTAGTTATTGAGAAATAATAATACTCCAATAATCTTTTCCACCAAAAAATTCACTCAGATTTGTGTGAGATCAATTAATGACACATCGTACACAGAATATCAAAAGCATAACCAGTAGGGGCTAGGGAGACACAATGCATGTTAAAAAAGAAAAACAATAAGGCAATAAATAAAAGTAAAAAAAAAAAAAAAGATTTCTCTGATAGACCAAAGAACACATCATCTAATCACCTCATGAATTTGTTCAAAAAAAAAACACCTCATGAAGAATAGGACAGCTCAACTTTAAATTTCAAAACACTTCTAAGACCAGCTAAATTGGACCCAGACATACTCAAAAAAAGGGGAAAGGTCCCATTCTTTTGGATAGCCAAATCGTACACAAATTATAGTAAAAATGAAGAAGACAAATTGGCTCCACTTTTTGATGCTTGAGCTCACACTTGCGTTTACTCATGCAATCTATAAAGCACAGATACTATCAAGAAAGTGACATATCCGTGTTGGACACCGACACTCTTCGAATACATGTCCGATACTCTTTTATCCGTGTTCATAATTAAATAATAAAATTTTAATTTTGGACACGTATTCGACATTTCTTTGATGACATGTTCGACACTTCTTTAAGTTATATCTATTACTAAACAATAAACATGTGTTGACATATGATTAACAAAGCTTAAAAATTTAACTAATAAATATCTTATGTTATAAGAGAACATATAATTACCAAGATTAGATATATTGAAATTGTACTCGAAATATAATAATATAAACAAAGGATTCATAAACGTTTTTAAAAAAGAGAAATTGAGAAAATAACATCGATCATTTAAATTATATATGTTGAATACACAATGTCTACAAAAAAAATTTAATGAGTATTGACTATTCTGATGCTTTGATCCAAAAAATCTCAATAGATTACTAAACATAACATTTACCAATCATAGAATACTGTATTTTCTATGAATGTGTGTTCCCAACGTGTTCATGTCCTACTTTTTTTTAGAAATGTCGTGTCTACATGTCCGTGTCGTGTTGTATCCGTGCTTCTTAGCATGCAATGCAAGCCTTCACTCTCAGATGAGCAGCAGGTGCACAGTACACCTACATGTATAAAAATGGGATTACTCTCTGTATACTGTCAATCTAACCCTCGAAACAGAAGCGTGTGTGCAAATCATTACTAACTACATACAGGTCAAATGACCCTAACATCAAGTCATTAACATCTAACTGAAACTCGCCCATTCCCTTGACATGATACAGCCCTTCCACCCCATCAGTAGAAATGGAAACAGATACATTAGCATATCACAAGAAGTCTGGCTAAAATGTTGGACAGGCTTTTGTTGATCATGCCAAGCATTTACATGAACAGTCAAGTGCTGCTATCAAAGGTTAGAAACAACAAATATGCAGTGTCTGCAAACCAACATAAGGAATTAAATGAAGGAGACTTGGTGCTAGTGCACCTAAGGAAGAAAAGGTTTCATAAGGACACTAACCATAAGCTTAAAGCATGAACTTTTGGTCCATGCCTGGTGTTGAAAAGAATCAGCTCAAATGCTAATGTCATAGAACTTCCTCACTGTATACAAAACAGCCTAGCAATCTGATCAATGGCCAAAACTGTATTCACAAGCACTTGGATGGTGCTGCATCATATAATCACTCTTTCTCTCTCTCACTAGCACCAAGGCTAAAATGTTACACCCAAATTAACTTATCACTCAAACAAACCCTATTCACAGGTGAAAGTATCCACAACACAATCACGGAATTTTTTTCAAATGGCCATCACAATGTAACAGTTTCTCACAGAAAACATATTTGCGCAATTGCTTATCATCAAAAATTTCCACCAACAGTCAATAATCTCTTTTTTTTTAGAAAATCAAAACAAACCATCAAATCCTAATACAAATAGACAGCACAGCGTCAGAACAAAAATGAACTCATCAAATCACACAAAAACTACGAAACAACCAATCAAAGATCTAGCAAAGCAAACCCAATTGAACTTTACAGCTCATAACCCATTTCAGTTCACCCAAATTAAATCATTCATAAAAAGCTTTGAACCCAAACAACAAAAAAACTAAATCAATATCAGATACTTCTCAAATAAAACCAAAGAATCATAATCAAAATGAGGCCATCAAATTATAGCAGAAGTATCAATCAAATCCAAAAAGTCCCTTAATACCCATCTCTGATTGTCACCAAAATTACCAAGAAAACTCAAACTAGGTCCAAGACAATACTCATAAAACGAGTACTTAAACAGCTATGACTTATGAAATCGAGCACAACAGATAAAAATGGAGAACAAAACAGACCCTTTAACCTCCTTAGAACCTCAGCTTGGAGAAAAACCACCTGTTCTTCCCACTCTTAAACCTCTCTTCGAACCTCGCTTTGGTCTCTTTTGCAGCCGTGATTTTCTTGTCACGGGACTGAAGAACGTCGGGTGTGACAACATCCTTCAGATCGACATCCAGGGTGTAGCGCGTGGGCATTATGTGGTTGTAATTGACAAGCTTGATGAAGCACTTCACGCGAGACTTCTTGGCAGTCTTCTTGGCGGAGTCCTTGCGGATCACCTTGGATGGGTACTTGGCTATCCCTGCAACCAAACAGTGGGAGTAGGGACGGTCGCGAGTACCATCATCGAAGGGTTTGACGATAACTGCCTTGTGACCGGCGAAACGGCCTTGGAGAATCACTACGGCCTTGTTCTGCTTCAGAAACTTCACCATTTTGGCCTTCACGCCTCCTCTCACTCGAACCTGTCTTCGTTTTCGCCGCTCTGCGTGATTGCTTATATAAAGTATAAACCCTAGGGTTTCATGTGGTCTTATATTGTGGGATAATGGCCGCAGTGGGAAATGACCAAATTGATCCTTGAAAGCCCTTTTTTTTTTTTCTTTATCAGGCACTATTATAAAGGGATAATGAGATTTAAATCCGCAATTAAACATAAAAACCGTACTGAAATATACTACTCGGGCTTGTTTGAAATAAAATCTCAATTTTTTTTTTGTTTCGGAGAGAAAAAAAAAAAAAGTGGTTTGTTTGGATTTGTGTTTATTGGACAAAAATAATTTTTATTAACCCCAAAGAAAAGTTAAAAAAGAAAATGAAAAACTTAATTTTTTCGAAAATATTTCAAATGGTTTTAAGTTTAATTTTTTTATTTCACTTTTTAAACATATACTTTACACCCCAAAAAATCACCTCAAATCAAACTATCTTTACACCTATTTCAAAAAACACACAGAGGATACAGCCCTATGCGGCAAACAAATAGAATTAAATTGAAATTAAGATATAGGGGTTTTTAATTGATCAATTATTGGTGACATATTGATTATTTTTATATTAAAAATATGACAAATTATAATTATTTTTTTTGTTTTATACGTAGTTCAATTAATATCTCTGATCAAAGACAAATAATTCACTTCGTAATTAGGATAATTACGAAAAATAAAATTTTCAATTGCAATGAGTTCCTCTCACCTTAGAGAGAGTAGGAGCATAAATTGAGACAAATTACTTGAGTTTTGATTTAAATAAGATTAAGCTCGAGTTCAACTAATGTTCTAAACGAACTAAGTTTAAATAATTATATTTATTTATTTAAAAAAATGAGTCTAAAAGACTTGACTTGTTTATATGTAAAATAGTTGAATTGTTTGGACTTAAACTTGACTCAAGTTTTAAACAAATCGAATTTAAATAATTTTTAAATTTATTTAGAAAAACAAACTTGTTCGAAACTCCAACACGTAGAGATCCGGTCGATTAACACAAGACACACAGATGGATAAGTCCCGGTTTATTAATCCGGACGAAAAATCCAAACCCAGTCTCACGGGGCGATGCGGAAGTCTAGATAGAAGATCAGATTGTGTTTCTGAAAGACACGCAGGCGGTCGATTAACATCGCCTCTTTGCGGGGAAAACAAAAACAGTCACTTCCTCCATCTCTCTCTCTCTCTCTCTATCTGTATACGATTGTGTTCGGCTAATGTTGCTGTAAGTAACGAATCAAAAAGCCATGGAAGTGTACTCCTTCACTCCCCACTCTCTCTCTTGCACTTTCTTCGGTGGGAATTTGATTCCCTCTGATCTCCGGCACTTGGGTCGTGGAGAAGTCAAGGTGTCTACGAGACACACAAAATTTTCTTCGTCTAGCTATAATGGGCTTGACTGTTTCCAAATGGGCAACACTGGCAAGTCCAAGAAATCGGTCTCACGATGTTTGGCGGGTTCTTCCATTTCTTCTCGGATGGCTCTTGGCTCTGTATGAACTTATAACTACTTTCACACACATACGTGTTAATTCGTCTCCTTACTGCTCTCTCATCACTGATGTTGAATACTTTCAGATAACGTGTTTGATATATTGTTGTGTGAATTCCTTGCCTATAGATGCGAATAAGTTTTCATTTGAACAGCTTTAGTTTAGAAGAGTAATGTGTAGATGTGGTTTTGGGTCTTAAGGGAGTTGTAATATTTTTATCAAGAATTTTGTTAATTATAATTTTCTGGTGTTTTCTGACTGAAAGACTACTCTTTCCAATCTGTCCACTCCCCCCCCCCCCCCCCCTCTTCCCTCTTTCCTTCCTCCCCAAAAGAAAAAAAAGGAAAATAGTTTAGTGCCAACTCTTCCCTGCACAACTTTTCACTTTGGACTTCTTGTCTTGATAACTGAAATATGAATTAATTTGTTTATGAGCATTGCTCAGATGGAAGACCAATTAGGTAAAATGACTATATTGGATTAAACTATATATTGGTAAAATGACCATATAAGTGAAAGAGTTGCTGTATTTATGTTTGTCTATAACAAATGGTCATTTGTGGGGCTGATTCTGCAGGATTTCTCATTTCGAAAATTGCATTTTAAGTTTTCTCTGCTTGCCACCTTATAAATGTGCAAATTACATTAGTTCTTTGGTTGGTTATTATATAACCAAAGAGTATGTGTTTTCTTGTTTTTAATATATAATGCTTGTAGGATATGCATCTTCTAAAGGACTTCTTATCATTTGAAGGATGCATAAACTATTGACATGAGTGGTGTATTTTGCAGAATGTAAGCGAAGATACCGATGATATGTTTGATGATTTGTTGAAAAAATATGGGAAGGTGGTCTTTAGAAGAAATGACCAAAAGTCTCCTACTGCAGAGGTTGATGATGATGCTGAAAGCTTGTCCTGTAAGCTCATCTCACTGTCAACTATCTGCATTATTTTCTCAGATGCCACAAAAAATTCGGATAAATCTAAATAGCTATTGGTTGACACGGACACATAAGTCATGTTATACTGTTGAATAACAAGCTTTCAATTTTCTATTTGGATTTGTAGAAATTTTATGTGCTTGGGGGATGTGTCCATTTCATGTTGTTTTGGGCTGATATCTGTTGTTTAAAAAAGTCCATATGCGTTTTGAGCTTTCATCATGGATTAGTATGCCCTCGTGTAGGTAAAATATTTTATTTGAAATTGTACTTATGAAATTTATTTTGTGTCTAAAAGATTGGTGACTCAAGACATCCCTTAAGATGTGTGAACCAAATCAGTTGACTATCCATAAGCCTCGTTGTTGATTACTTTTTGTCATTTCTGTAGTTGCTGTGGCAGTGGCTAAGATTGCAAGTGAGGTGAAGGCTGTAGATATAAGGGTCCTCTTTGTGAAGCCTCTTGTCTACTGGACTCGGTTTTTTATTATTGCCACTGCATTTTCTCGTCCTCAGATTGATGCTATTGGGTATCAGTTATGATTGTTTTTAGCTCTAGTAGATGCATTATCATTTTATTATAGTTCAGTATTATCTGGAAATATGCACCAAAAAGTTAAGAGATTATTTTGAGCAACAGTGGTTTTATGCTGTAACACAGGACCAAAATAAAGGATCTAGCTGAGAAACAGTATGGAAGAGTAGCAACAGGGGATTCAAAACCCAATTCATGGACATTGTTGGACTTTGGTAAGTGTTGCTTTGTTACAGTTCAGCAATGCACATAGTAGCGTATTTAACTTAAAATAAGTCGAGTCAGAGTTGGCTTTGACCTTCAGCCTCCTCCCAGTTGTGTGTTTTGAATTATGAATGTTTCTGCCTATATCCCACCTGATATGACCTTGTTCTTTGATTTAAAGGAGACTATCATGAAATGGGCTTTGGCATATGTGTCATTGCCTTCTCCATTGCTATTACCACTTCGTTTGGAGTTATTATTTGGTACTGATAAAATCATACTTAATTATCTTTGTTGTTGATTCCTCTTCATAACTTGTTGGGCACAATTGGTGGTTGTTTTATGAATGATAGCCATCCCAGCTGAGTTTCCATCTTGCTTAATCATTATTGTCGTCATAATTGCCTGGCCGATTTGCATTACTTCAATTCACATAATTCAGGTCAGAAAACTGAGGTTAACCTAGTTAGTTTGGGGCTCATGTTTCTTCTTTCTAATATAATATATTCCATTGATTTTATTCTGATGGATTAATTTACTGGCAGGCGTTTAAGCTACAAATGTTTCTTTCTTATGTGTGTGTGTGTGTGTGTGTTTGTATGTAATAAACCATAAGCTTCACTTTGCATGGTCTCATGCAATGTTATTAGTGATACCTTTGTTCTTGCTACAAATCCCAAGGCCATCGATAGCTGCTGGGGTTGGCAACTTTGGGTAAGATTGTTGTTGATCCTGCCAGTATATTTTAATAAAGCTTGTGCAAGAGCTTTGTTGATTTTGAATTGTTTACAGGTGATGTAGTAGTGCACATATTCCTTCCTCAACAACGAGATTTCTACAATTTGGAAGAGTTCTATGGCAATGCGACGCCCATTGAGCTACCTTTTGAAAATCAACAATCATTTCGGGGTTGAGAAGGCTACCAAAATGTGCCAGGATTTGAGCCCTGTGATTAAAAAGAAAAGTTTGGCCGCATAAGAGGCAGTGTTTTGATCCTTGCTTTTGCTCACTTGTTACATCATGGCAAACTTAGTTACTTCATTGAGCTGATTGTGATTATTGTGAATTCCATTCTCAGCTGCTCATTCAAGATCGATGTATTATTGTAGATTAGAAGGCATGCCTAAGCGGTTTTGTAGGTGTTCTTGAATGATACCCATAGTACATGGGTTGTAACAGCAACAGACGCAAACAGTTGAAGGAATGGGCTCAGGTTGTTGCTCTGAATGGAGAACAGCATCTTTTGTTCATTGAATGAGTCGTACTAATTGCTAATTACATAAATTTTAGCAATCAAAATGACTATAAAATAACCTCTTTTATAAAATGAACTCTTCAATTCAAGGTCACCAAAAAGTAAGTACAGATTAATCAACTTGCGTCACCATGCCGTTAATGGATTGACTACCCTTAACTACAAACACGTACTCAATGGGATCCATACCCCGTGTTTGTTGAAATGCACCCTCAAGCATTTAAAAAGTCGAATCATCAATTGAAAACATCTTCATCTACATAGTTTTACATAGTCTAACCTCTAGTAAGGGAAGGGGTTAAAATCCTTCAGAGATCCACAGATCCAAGCACCAAGTATACCGTCACTGGCGTTGCCAGGTTACAATCCAGAGGCGAACACAAGTTTTGGGTTACAATTCATCAATTTCACTACCATCTTAACATGCATACTCATCCCACGACGGACACACCCCCTCTAGTTGTTTTACACATCCAAAACACTTATAACGGGAAGTACAAAAATTAAGCAATATCAGAATGCATAATACAGCCTCCATCAGGCAACTAAATCCATCCTATTAGTATTCTTAACTTGAAACAAATCAGAGCAATGCCAAGTTATGGAAGAGTTTGATACAATGTCCACATCACATCAAGCAAAAGGGCTCATTGAAAGTCACATTCCTCAATGACTCAGGGCTTACGAGGGGGTGAACTACTCCTGCTGCTGTTGCTGGTGCTTCTTCCTCTTAAAGGCCTAAAAACACACAACATACCAATAGTATCATAAGCAAGATATTAAATATTCCAATTATAAAAATAACCAGCCAAATAAGGCCAACATTAAACCATGAGAATAACATTAGTAAAAATACTGGTGACCAGAAGAAAAGAAAGAAGGCAATTAATCTCAAGTTTTCCAGGTGCAACGACCAAAAGATCAGCCCACCTCAGCTTTCAATATCAGTATAATTATAGAAAACAAAGTTTTAACACACCAGAGGTGCTATTGGGTGGCTAATTCAGTAAAATACGGATGTGGATGTGCATAATTTATAGTAAGAAAAGAAAATAAAAGATGCTAATTAGGTCACATGTAAAACTTGCACACGAGAGTCACGAGACCGTTTAGTCAACAGGGGAAAATGAGCTCAAGCCTACCAAAGAAAGATATTTTAAGTCCATATGCAAACAATACATGCAAATATTTACTCTAATTGAGGCGAAACCTTAGCATGTTTACAGCTCAAAGGTGATCATGCATAATGAGTGGATTAAAGCTTACTCAAAACCTGGAGAGGAGTTTCCATAATGCATCAAAAAATGCAAGTTTGGAATGGTGTTTGAAAGTGAAGATGGGCTCATAAAGCCTTTTTCACGTATAACTAATAACAGGAAACATGTTCAATGCAAAGGGATGGAAGTCTAGAAATCTTTTGCCCAAAAATCAACACTAACACTAATGATGGTGTCAGCATCAACATCCTCACACAGACAAATGCAACATCCCATCCCAGTAATGGAAACACCTTAAACAATTATATAAGAACAGCAATATTATAACCTTTATCTGCTGCATTCATTGTTCACGTGAAGATTAGCATTCTTATGACTGTTTTATTGAAAAAAGGGAAACTATTCACCAAGACAAAAGATTACCTTCTAGGAGTACGACTTCTTGATATTTTCCGGGCTACCTGTCATGATTGGAATAGATTAAGCTACATTAGATCCTCAACTGGGTAATTTTAATTAAACTTCACAGACATCACAGAGACAGACCTTCCGTGGGCTAGGAGATGAGTTGGATGATGATCTCCCACGTCTAGCACCTGGTGCTCGCCCCCTGATGCAGATGAATGCACCACACACAAGAAAGATTGAAAAGTAATGATATATTTACTTTAAAAAGTAGTGAAATTCAAAAGAATTTTTTGCCCTCTCAAAACATCAGAGAAAACAAAAAGGAATGGACACAATGAAATAACATGTCACAATCTGCAGATTCATATGTTACCTCCGTGGAGAGATCGACCTTGAACGAGAACGAGCAGGCCTTCGGATGGGAGAGCGGCTTCGTCTACGTATTGGTGACCTTCTGGGTGGACTTCGAGCTCGTCTAGGAGAACTGCAAACAAAGAAAGTGGTTTCATAAGAAACCAACCAAAGAATGTGCATGTGTCAGGTTGTCTGTTGTGACTGATTTAGTAAGAACATAACAACTACAAGAAAACCATCACAACTCAATCATGCAAAAACTTTAATTCCAATTCCAACTATTTGGAACGGTTACGTGAATTAGGGTCAGTCATCGTGCTCTATGTCTCTATCCCAGACACAATCTGACTGTCTGTAAACCATTACAAAAAGTTTTAAAAATCCAACTATCTGAAACCCATTATGGTCACAAATTGTCATCTCTCTCTTACTTCCTCGGATAGCATCTTCTGTCCTATGCCTCTTCCTACACTAGTTCATGGCATACAATTACAGAAAGATTGGGAATATCACATCATATAGCAATAATACTCTGATGTAATCAAAAGAGCTAATTACCGGCGCCTGGGAGGAAGGGGAGAACGTCTTCTAATAGGACTGCCACGAATCCTTCGGGGAGAGGCCCTATTGAGAAAAAAAATAGGTCAAAAGCTGCCAAAACCACCAAGCCACCAAAGAGAAACATGTAATGGTAACTGACCTGGGAGATCTATACCGCCTCGGTGGAGGGGATGGTGAACGGCCTTTAGCAGGAGATGCAGGCCTCCTCCTGGGAGGTGGTGAATCACCACGGCGATAAGGAGAGACTGGTCGGCGACGAACAGGAGAGTCAGCACGTCTTCGGGGAGGAGAACCTGCCTCTCGTCTTGGAGAACCTCTTCGTGCTAAAGGAGATTTCCTCCTCGGTGGTGAATGAGGTCTCCGACGAGGAGATGCTGATGATATGAAGTTCAGAATAAGTTACCAGCAACAAACAGCAAGTACATTAGCAATATTCAGAACATATAATTGTAGGGAGCATACATTCTCTCTGCCTCTTTGGCCCATCTTTTTCGACATCGGCAACAACATTATCCATTTTTGGAGCATCTCTTCTTGAAGCAGCACCGGCCCTAGGGGGTGACAAAACCTTTTTCGGCTCAGGTAATGTGAAACTGGCCGCAACAACATTCCCATCAATCTGGGCCTGCACTTAGACCAAGAAAAAAAAGTCAATTTACCAGACACGACATGCCATCAAAGCAAATCATTGTAGTTCCCGTGTTAATAAAACCATACCCCATCCATGTGTAACTGAGCTTTTTCAGCATCAACTCTCATCTTAAACTCAACATATCCAAACCCTTTTGAAAGGTTAACCTGGAAATATGAAAAAATACCATGTTATCTAAGAAGAATTAAAGTAGTTTGTTTCGCAACCAGAAGAGGATGTTGGCTGTTAGAACTTACAGTATGATCCATTGCCAGCTGCACATGTACAACTTCACCAAAGTTACCTGCAAATATATATACAAAAATTCATACAATATTTTGTCACCTAAAGCATTTATATGAGAAGAATTACCACAAATTCCTGAAAGAGGTGTACCAACTCCTTCAAAAACGTTAAACTAGAATAAAGTCGACACTTAAACCCTATCAACGCTAGAATGAGGCAAGGCAGTGCCTCATTTTCCAATGCTTTTACCATTTCCCCTAAGATACAAAAAGTTCTCTAATATAGCAAAAAGGCAAAAACTTGGAAGAATGAAGAAAGATTACATGGCATGAAATTATAACTTGAGGATGAAATGTTTCATAAAAACAGCAAAGATCAAGTGGGGCAAGTGTGTATTGCCAAATTCCATTAGTTGAACTGTTAGGTTTTGTTGCTATTTAAATATTAGAAACAAAACTTCCACAAAGTAAAATCCATGATTTTAGGTTAAATAAAGAAGAACATTACTAGAAAAAATAGTGTGCAGCCAAAGATAAGAATAAGAAGAACGTACTGAATATTTCTCTTAAATGATTTTCATTCACATTCCTGGTGAGCTCATCAACACGAAGAACAAGAGACTCAGGAATAGGCGAAGCTTTCCTATAATCAGATGTCAAATGTGAACATAAGTAAAGCACTAATAACACAAAAATAACAATTAAAAATAAGTGATTATCATATAATCTTCTCATATTGTAACGTAAGCAGACCATGAAGTTTAATTACAGTAAAATAAAAGGAAACAATGTCCCCTCTTGTACAGCTTACAGATCTTCCTCATTTTCAAGTAGTTAGTTTCCTACAGAGGGAAATATGAAATCAAATGGCAGAGTTAGCCTTCACTTTTAATTTTCAGAACAAAAAGTAATTTCATATATTTCAAGCACACAAGTTCCCCTTAATCCAGCTGGGATACATTATTTTATGCTGGAACTTATCCACAATTTTGATATCCCAAAGAGTTTGCTATTGCCAACGCAACAACGGCTTCCAAAAAAGCAGACAATTTCAGGGATCACTTGAGCCATATGCTACCAAGTTTGGACATAGCCTAGACGGAAACTAGCTTGGCAGTGACAATAGAATCATCCAATCCATATTTTACAACAAATCAGGCACTTACTGCACAGAACAGGCAAAAAAATTGACCACAAAAATAAGGAGCGAGGATATTGTTGATTAGTTGCACTCTAGACGAGATCATCTTCATTGATAAAGTAGGTCTACAATTTATATGGTTTGAATTCTTCAAAACTTAATTCTTAAAGTCTGTCCAAGACGGCGAAAAACTTAAGAAAAAAATTAAGAATTAATATCACAAATCAATGCAAAATTAGAAACATGTTACTACATGAAAACTCCAATGCTAAAAGAAAAAGCATAATCAACATCAAAACGTTTAAAGTGTTTCTATTGAAATAAACAATTTCAAACATAACCCCACCTTGGAGGAGGAGGAAGAGGAAGAGGAGGAGGAGGAGGCAGAGGAGAAACTTTCTTAGATTGGGGTGGCGGTGAACGTCCTCGCTTAGCTCCTTCAACAGGACTATGAAAATCACATTTGATGTCAAAACAGAGTCAAAATAATTCAGCAATCAAATAAAAGGAATGAAACAAGCATAAGAAGATATCGACCACTCAAAACTAAAACCCCAAGAAAATAGCCATTTTGAAATGATGTAGCTCATCAGTTCAGCTAGTATTTTCTATAGACTTGTTTACCATCTTCTTCTTACTAAATTGATTATTTCTCTAATCACAACACTCAAGGACAAGGACAGTACCAGGCTTGCCAAAAACTGGCACTTAATGAGAGTGAACTGATGAAGAACCATACTTTCAACAGCTCCAAAGATTACACAAATTATACACACAATGAGAACTTATTTTAATCTCCACCGTAATAAGATTTCTCACATCTCACATTTCTTTGGTTAACATGTGAGTTTGACTGCTCGAAATACACTGTCATCACGCTTTCGACCTATACTTGTTCTCTTCCAATAATCCAACATATGTGAAGGTGATAAAAATGAGCAAACCCACAGGCCACAGGTTCTTCCATGCAATTTGAACAAAAACACGGCAAAGGTTGTCTTAAAGACATATCAATGAAAAAGGAACCCCATGACATGCAAAAAAGGTAGCGTCTAGTTGGACACACTAGAAAGATATATTGAGTTCGTTTCCAGGCAATAAATCAAAATCCAAACCAAAAAATAAAAAAGAAAATAAGAGTGAAGAGCTGGTTACAAAAAGGAAAACTTCAAAACCTTTGTGCCTAACTTCCTTACAGGTGCCCCTCATCTGAGAATCCCACCTATATCACTAGGGCAAGGTGGCATTTTTACATTAGGCTCATTTGAAAATGGAATAGTTTTCCAGTAAGGCACAAATTATAAAGACCTAAATTAAAATTCTGCCAATTTTTTATTTTCCTTCACATTCTCTCTGCAACAACAGTCGACCAGTATACTATTGTCTCAATACCATTATAAAATTCTGTACGTGTTTAACAACATTAGAGGTGCCAACACTATGAAGAATCTAAGACTAACAAAAGGCAACTTTGAACTAGATAACTCAACTAAGCCTAAATACCTATATATAATACCAGTTGCACAGAAAATTTGGGGATTTTATTTTAGAAGTTCGTCTTAAGAAAAAGAAAAACTAAAATGCACACATAGAAACATAGAGATGTACATATATGTTGGGACGAACCTTTTTCTCACGGAAGGGGGGCTAGGGCTGCGAGAGCTGCCGCTGCGAGACTGAGAGGAAGAAGAAGAGAAAGATTTGGAGCGGGAACGCGAACGGGAGCGCGAGCTTGAGCGAGAGTCCGAACCAGAGTAGGAACGAGATCGGGAGCGAGAGCGAGAGGATGACCCTGAACCAGAGCCCGATGGTGTAGCCGGACGGCCTCGGCCTGGTTTCGGCATGGCTACACCTTCACTTCACACAGCAGAATGCAGAGACAGACTAAACACTTGGATTAAACCCTAACGAGAAATGGTGAGAGAGAGAGAGAGAGAGAGAGTAACCAATCGGTTTAGCTGAGAGGAGCTTATCGTGACGTTGAGGGCTTTATAACGTGGGCTGGGTCCTTGGGCTCGGGCCACCTTGTTACATGAACCCAACAAGTATTTGATTCACTTGTTATGTACTCGGAATTAGAACGCTATGATACGAATTGTTAATACAGTATAATATTAAAATATTTTAGTTTTTTTTATGTCAGCTGTTTAATAAATGAGTAAATTTTATATAATGTAATTAATAAATAAATCGGATATGGGTAAAACTAATCAAAAAAAATATTTAACACGATTCATTTATATACCAATTATACACCGTTTATATATGATATGAATTTGATATGATACAAATTAATAAACAAATTAAATATAAATAAAATATTTTTTGACACAAACTCGTTTCATTCGACATAATTGACAGACATGCTCAGAGTCTATAGGGTTGAGAGAGGGGCTTTTCTCGGATACAATCCTTGAATTTAATCTTATTGATTTCAACTAATAAACTCTTACACTCATTAGCAAATGAATCAACATGAACCCCACACAAAAGCAAACCTGCCTATACACACGGGCAAATGAGTCTCGTATAGTTTAAAAATTTTTTGACATGACTTAACTTATTAAAACACAACAAAAACTCAAAAAGACACAAGCATTGACCACCCTAATTGTCATGCATGCCCTTTTACATATATCTATTTTGGATAAAATTTATTATCAATCTAATAATTATTAAATTTAAATATTAAATTCAAATCAAATACCCCCATTAATCTAAAATAAAATATAATCAGTAATATGATACTTTAAAAAAAATTGTCGCTTTAAAATAATCGAAAGTGTAAATTATAGACAATTTTATTCTCGTTTTAAAAAAAAATATTTCCACAATTTGAGCCCGCAAAATGACATATATAACCAGGGTTGGTGATTCAGTAGCTTGCAGTGTCTTTCTTAACTCCAATGAGGTTATAGTAAGAAAGGTTTGATTTAATTATGAAAACTTTTTGTTATTTTCACAGATCACTCTGTGGTACAGGAGTTACACTATGGTCATTTAGGCCTCATTCGTGGGTTTCTTTCGTGAGTTTGGACTCTTATGATATGATCACGTTTAGACGAGGGTTCCACACTGATTATCTTTCAAATCTTTTTATTGATAAAAAAAAATAAAACAGAAAAAATAAAGAATGGGACATATGAGAAATCCAACACATGGACTTTTATTACATTTTATGATCCTTAGATTCCAATGAATTAAACTAACACAATAGCTATTAAGAATATAATGAAAACCAAAACGCATAAGCGACCCAAATCCTCTCAGCTTTCGAGATGCATGCAGTCACAATCTAACAAGAACTTTATCAACCTTCCAAGAAAAGAAGAACACATTCTTTTAAAACACATAGAGATCAGCCAATTCCTCCAAAGAATCAGCAGTGAGATTGGGATCGGCATTCTCAAGCATCCATAGAAGGTGGTCGAACAGTACAACCTCACACTTCACCGATAGATTCTCTCCTGGTTTCTGCTTCGACTTTTCAATAAGAGCAGTCAATAATGGATGGTTCAAGTACTTAGAACTGATCACGTATTGCTTCCTTGAGCTCCCAACGAGAATGGTTTGGCGATATTCGTCATCTTTTATGTCACCAACCCATATCTCTTCTCTGCTTGACCTGGATCTTAGGCTACTGTATGATGATGTTCTACCCAGTTGCCTAGACAGTGTCTTGCACTTCCTCAGCATCAAATTGATCTTCTTCATATCCTTCTTTTTGTGTGTGTAAATGAGAGACAGAGAGATAGTTAGAAGGAATGCAGAGCGGAGGGTGACAGATGCCTTGATATACACTCACGTTCGGAGAGTGTAAATGGAGGGTGAGGGTGGGTGAACGGTCATTGTTTTCCAGTGCTTGGGGTGAGTGACCCACTCGCAACCGATCATTTCATATGACATAAACATGCCATCTTCCATCTGTGGGGGTGGGTGTGGGGCACCCACAAACAGACATAGACTGTGTTCATGCATCGAGATCATTTACATGTAGTTCCATCAAACTGGAGAGCCGATGAAAGGAGAAAAAAAATTCTGCAGAGCAAATCTATATATAAATTATTCAACTCATAAGACATATCCTGAACCAACTCAGGTAACGATGATGATCAGTATTCAAATTTGAGAGAATAATCGATACAAATCTAAACACTTATAACAAAAAGAAAAAATAAGTGATGGGTGACCCACGGAATGGAAGCTTTACCACGGTCTCTCCATTGGTTAAGTGACAAACGCTGTGCACGGGCACATTTTGTCACAGAGCTAAAGCCTTCCGCATGGCCTCCTCAATCCTCATTTTGGAGGTTATGCCACCTAAATTAGAATATCTCTATAGATTAGTCTAACCACAGACAGCCATTTGCGCCGTTTGGGCACAAAAAAAGTCACTTGTTCACCTACAATTTTTAAATTTTTTTTCAGAAGAGACAAGAACATCGGTTGAAAGTAATGGTTTAGATCGAACTCAATCCCTTTTCAACGAATGCGAACCTTGACACAGTAGTAATCCCTTTTTCTAATTTAGATATCAAGACATCAAATCACAAATCCCTTTGTTCACACATTAAGAAAAATCTAGGTATAATTGTTCTTAAATTTTACAATGACAAAAATTTCACCCGTTCAACAATGTTTAAATTAAAAGCTCTTAGATCAAACTTGGTACATTAAAAGGGAAGAGTTCAAGCATTTGTGCCAACACTCGGTATTTAAAATTTATTGGAATCGATAGAAATGTCTCAAACAATTTCCAAGTAATTATTTCAAATGGGTTTAAATATCTTATTTCAAAATTTTCTTGAAATATTCCTAGAATTTTATATTTTGAGTCCAACCACAACTGCAATGGAATGATCTTCAAAATGCCTCTCTTTTGGCAAAAGTCATATATTTAAATATGGGATTGAGATCAAATTACAATAGGTGTTCTTCTAACGTTGACTGTGAAAGAAGGACCACTTGATTATCAACGAATTGTGCCATTTGGTTATCATTGAACGGTCACCACAAAGGGCCTTCACCCGCACTTACGAGCTAACACAGATGATTTATGAAGTAATAATGCTTGTTAGCAGCTTAGCTTCCAAGCGAATAAAGGAGGCTTGATGTTTACTTAGAAGCAATAGCAATGGCCATCAAATCAGTGAGCATTTTCCACCAAAGCCACACACAGAGAGAGAGAGAGAGAGACTCACCGTCAACTTGAACTGATTGAGATAGGATTTTGCAACTTGCAGAACTGACATTGCACAAATCAAAGGGAAAACAGAAGAGTGAGTCATTTAAAGCCGCAAGGGAACAACTACTACTCAAAAAAATGTGGTCTGAGGGGCAGTATTGAAAAATTATGTAGAAAACTCAAGGGTAGCTCAAATCTTAACAATCCCTTTGGAGTCAAGCCATAAAATATTTATATCTCATAAATATTATAATCCTGACATAGATGATCTGTATTTGACCGGACTACGATGGAGATTAGTCGAAGTGCGTGTAAACTGGCCTGAACACCCTAACCCTAACCGTTGAACCAAAAAAAAACTAGCAGAAACTGTACAGTAAATGTTTTACTCCAGAAGAAACGGGAAAATAATTTCTTATATATGATTTCACATACATGATACATGAATGAATAAAGTTTCCGCTCAACTATCAAAATTCATGATGCCCACTTTTACCTCTCACTTGGAATGCACGAGTACTGCATAGAGTAAGCACTCGCCATTCCATCTAAAAATAATTTGTCATAAACTATTCAATGATTTTCACACAAATTTGACCATGCTACCTGAAACAGGGTCGAGCTTAGTTGGGTGAAATAGGAAGGCAGTTCAGCACCAATAATATTTGGATCATACATTGAAACGAAACAACATCACATCTCCTTCTTCTACGACATAATCTTTACCCTCAGATCTCAACTGCATTCAAACAAGTAGATCATATATATCAGCTTCATCTTGGCAAAAAAGAAGAAGAAAACAGCCATTCATACAAACGCAAGCATTGTGTGTGTGCATGTGTAGATCACTAATTTGTTGGCAGCAATTTCATAGGCATTCCAGGGTTATATTCAAATGAATAGTCATTGAGATGTGCATGCCAGCATCTATGGGACAACGATTGCATCCATCTACCTATTATTCATCCAGCTGACTAACATATATACAGGCTACTCCCTTCAATTTCCCAAGATAAGACAATCAGGAAAAGTAGGTGAGGACAGAGTTTAAGGCTCTCATCCCAGCTCTCCTTTTGCATGGATCAAAACTCAAACAAAACACATATCTCCACTGCTGTGCTCCTCCTCCTCAGATTGCTTTGACTCTTCCCCCTGACTCCCCCAAATCCAAAACAAAAACATAATCTTCTTCAACCACAACATTCTGCACACATCATGTCGCCAAACAAGAATCCTATACTAACATTCTACCCTGATTAACAGGTTCAGTTTTTTGAACTATTCAACAGTGAAACTTAACCTTCTGTGCCAAACTTAGATGGTTTCCACAGTTACCCTTAAACAAAGAGTACAGAAAAATATGACAAGTATTAGCTTTCTAAGGGCAACTAAATCTGTCAATTACAGGCCACATATGGTCTTCAGACTCTTCAAATATTGTAGGCCAGGAATGAAATAGTTTCTGTAGAATTTCTTTCAAAACCTTGCTCATCAAGAAGTATTATGCCTGAGTCAAGTGTAGCACTGAGCTACATGTAGCTCTACCTTAAAATTAGAATAGAATCTACCTGCACTCATTCCACATGTCACATTTGCGTGATGATGCACGGGCCAGAGTGTGTTTTTCTAACGCAAATAAACCTAAAGCAGCAGGTGCTTGTGTGTCTGTGGAAGACAATTTAAGAGACATCTAAGCTAAAAGTAAGCACCAACTTACGAGTCCTTTCTCCCTTGCAGCCGCAAAAGAACCGGCAGAAACAAAATCATCATAAGCAACCTGATAAAACAAATGCATCATAAAAAAATTAGGGTGCATAAAGTCAGGTAGGAGAAAAACATGCAGCAGAGCAGGACAGCGTCACTTGGATAATATTTATTATAAGAGACTCCAATGAGCAATAAATAAAGTGCACCATGTCATACACAAATAATTCAGACTTTAATTCCTAGGTTCTTATATTGGTCTTCATTGGAAGACGTTTATCAGGCCAACAAATATCTGAGTTTTCTGGATATATTAGAGAACTTCAGGAATTGATTTCTGATTCTAGAAGGGTTCTCTGTTTGATTTATTTGCATGTTTATTACAGACGCAAATTTATTCATACACCAAAAAAAAAATAATCAGGACAGATAGAAAAGAAAATCGACATTCTGCCCATGATGCTCACCGTCTCTGCTCGAATGAAACCCTTCTCAAAGTCGGAATGAATAACTCCAGCAGCTTGAGGAGCAGTCATTCCTAACATATCAAAATAAAATTATTCAGGCCAACAATGTATCCTCAGCAGAATAGATACGATGTACAACATGTTAAGATTCAAACTGTTGAAGCCATCTCAAGTGTACTCTAGAGGAGACTTGGTATCCATCTAAGAGGAAAACAACTAGGATAGATTCTTCTATTCACCTACTACTATCAATCAAATAAAGTTCTCAGGTAACAATATGTTGTCCATATGCCGAAGCAAAGTATTCCACCAGGTCAGTTCTAACTTGGGGAAAATCTACCTACAATACAATGCAGATATATCAAACTAATATAACATTTATAGAATATTAAGCAAAGTAATGCTGACCTGAATGTATGGTCCATGCTTTTGTTTCCTGAGAGAAAAATATGGAAATCCTTTAACTATTAAAAATCAACACTATGTTAACAAAGTAATAAAGGATTTCCGAATTGATTGACCTTCTCTCCAGAAGTGAAGTATGTACGCAGCCCTAGAAGCCCATAAGTTTCCCTGATAAGGTTTCCAAGCCCACTGTCATCGACACCAAGAGACTTCAAATATTCTGTTCTTTCTTCTGATGGAAGTTCAGTAAGCTCTGACTCAACCTACAAGGTAAAGCTCCCTAGTTTAGTTGCCTGCAGTAATTTATAGAACTGCAAGAATAACACTTTCACAGAATAAGGAAAGAGAAGCTCTACACGCTACTGGGAAAAAAAGCAGGACAAAATATACTGTACTAAAAGCTAACATGCTAACACCCTCAGGAATTTGATTTAGTCAAGCACACAAGCACTGTAAGCATACTCCAAAAAACAAATTGAAGGTGCCACGGCTTCATGCCATCACCAAACCTGTGCTGAGATTGTTACTATTCCAGATTGTAGCTCAGAAGCAAGATTTGTCACTTCTTTGACATGAGGATTATTTTCAGGCTCCGCTAGATCAGATTCTGCCACATTTGCCACGTATATGATAGGTTTCATTGTAAGTAAACAAAGATGCTTCACAGAATCCCTTTCTAAATCTGTTAGCGGAACTGATCGCGCTGGTTTCCCGTCCATTAGTGCCTGCTGAATTCTTTCCAGTGCAGATTTTTCAGCTTCCTCCTGAGAATAAGAATATTTCAGCCAAAAGCCCCAATCACAGTCATCAAGGGACAACAATAAGAGGATTTTGGAAGCACCAAGGCAATTTTACCTTTATTCTAGATTGCGAATCTTTAGCTTTGCCTTTTTTGAGTTTTTCCATTCTTTTCTCAATCTGCATTTCTTGTAGAAGATACAATTTAGTTCTATCAGATTCTCCTTATTTTAGCAGACTATAAATACATGTTACAGACACACAAAAGTCTATCAGAATATCTGATTGAATATTTTCACATGTTTTTTTAAGGCAAAAGGCACCTTGGACCAATGTAGCATACAATTTAGTAGATGTGAATTGTAATGGTATCAAGGAAGCACCCAAATTGACAAATAATGGATATAGACAAAAAGAAAGATGTAAATGTACCAACACAAGATCAGCTTCACCACTTTTTTAATCAAAAGAATCACTGATGATTGTGATCTGTGACTTACTAGTGGAAGTATATTCAGATTGTCAGCAAGTTCAGAACCAATGTTGTTGAGGTCAAGCTAAGTAAATTGAGTTCCTTTCAATGCAGAAAGGATTTTCTTGACTTCTATTTTTCATATTTTGCTAAGAAACAAAACTTCTATTGTTAATAATAATAAGCATTACAAATATGGTGGATAAGTGCTATGTTATATGTACACACATGTATGTGTATACACTGTAATGATAGCAGGGTACAGGAAGGAAGTACAATTAACATAGACCACAACATTTTTGCACGTAGTAGTTATGTCGGTTAGTTTATAAATCCAATTTCATATGGGTATTTTTTGGTACTTTACCTTTTGAATATGTTAGTAATATTTAAAAGTTATGTCCTTAGTTGATATTAGGTATTCTTAGGGTTTCTTTGTGCATTTGAAGAGGCATCCACTAGTTTAGTCGGTTAGCAAAGGGGCAGCAAGTGGCTGAGTCTATTGGCCATTAAAAAAACCTGAGGAGTTGCTGTGTGTGCCGCTGAAGCCGAAGCTTCATCAGTTGAGTTTTGAATGCTGTTGTTGTGTTCTTGTTGCGGAAAAATTCTGAGATAAGTTACCTCTTGTATTTGCTTGATATTGTACTGGATTTTTGATGAAATAGAGTTGTTGTTTGATTGAATTGGTGGCAGTAGTTGTAACAGGTTTTTTTTTTTTGCCCCACTGTTTTTGCTCTATTCTTGTGCGATTCTTTTGTGTTCTTGGTGAAGTATTTGCTATTATATACCCAACAATCTCAGACTTGATTCTTGAGTTTTAAGCTTTATGGCATCCATATCCTAACTATGTGTGGCTCACTGATCACCAAGCTAAAGGCTCTTTATTTTTGAGCTTACACCTCAACATGTGCCCAAAATGCGTTTCATGTTGCTTCTTAGAGGACACAACAAAGCATCTTTACATGGCATAAACATCAACCATCAGAAGTGCCAGTGTGATAAAATGCTTGATAATTTGATAGTGATGTATTCTTTGGGGTTTGCCCAATTTCCAATACATTGAATTCTAAAATTCCAGTCTCACATCCATACATAAAAAATTTGGCACCGATGTCCGGTCCTAATTAAAAAGAAAATAACCCATGCTTCACACTTGGCTCTTAAAGCTGAAATCCCAAGCTTTAATGATGGCTGTCCCTGAACCATTCAGTTTGTTGTTTAGATAAAGTACTAGTTCAAAAAATGAGCTCGTTATATGAATGTAAATATAATGCCTATGATATATATAATTATAGACAGGTAACATCCATTAGCCTCTTGAGTGCCACTGATAGTTGAACTGAACTTTCTTCTTCACTTAACCTTAAGTTGGACAGTGGACATTCATATATCATTCCGGAACAAATTCTCGTGGCATACCTGATCCAAATCGGAGAAGACTAGCTCTAAGTTTATGACATCAATATCAGACTTCGGATCAACTTTCCCATTGACATGAACAATGTCATTATCCTCAAAACAGCGTACGACCTGAAAAGGTAATAAATAAGTGTTAAACCAGATACGAAATTATTACTCATTTCTTACTCAGAACTCGCTTTTTTGCCCCCTAGAGACATTACTCTAGTACAAGAGACAGGTAAGCTTCTCTACATCGACACTCCACTACATTGTTAAATGATGAAATTTTTCTGAAAATAAATTGAATTAATTGTAACCTTGGCACACCAATGAAAACCTAGCTGTAAACACAACTAGTAAATTCCATGTCTTCATTTCTCAATTACTCTGTTGGGTGGGAAAAAGTTTTAAAAATTGCAACAGAAAACAATTTGCTTTAACTATACAAAGTATTGAAGCCTTTCAAATTTTGGAGATGTGATGCACCTCAGAAGTATGTTCATGAAATCTAAAATGAGATGATCCGCATGTGTATATACACACACATCATGAAGTTGGAGCCCTGGTTGATAAGTCAGACTCATCAGTGCAGAATTTAGCTTCTCGTTTCGTGGATCTGATCTATAGCTAGGGGCAATACATACCAAAAAGGTCAAAGAATGAACATGCATAAAATACGAGTATATAACCAAACCAACCCACCCTTTTGCATAACCTATTCACTTTAGTGAAGCGGCTAGATGCAAAAGAAGTGCACATTTGATTGAAAAGGGAACAACAAAGAAGACACGGTTTCAACATTTTTTGACATAAAAAATTTGCTTACATAAAATCTAGACAGAGTCAAAGTAGTTTAGATGAATATATCAAAGCATTGAAACATTTTAATTTTTGATAACTAAAATGGTTAAAAATGTTAGCCTTGAATACATTGTTCCAGACAACATTATATTTTACACTCGCATGCTAATAGTAAGGTGCTACCAATGCCAAGCCCTATAGGTGGTGCATGCAAACAGTACATACACACATACAGACAAATAAAAAAGAAAGGAGGTTATATTGTATGAGCATCTTAAAAATGCATTAAAAGAATCCTTAAGGAATTTAATTCGGAATTAGCGGCAGAAGATTGAAAACCTGAAGTATAGAGTCCACTTCACGGATGTGTGATAAGAATTTGTTACCCAAACCCTGCAATCAGAAATCTTGATAAAGAAAATATCTTCATTTTACACACAGCAATCAAATTAAAGGAGAATATAGAGACATCTTCATTGACACCAAGAAACCTCAGATTCACTTAGAAAATCAAGAATTCTCACCTCCCCTTGACTAGCTCCCTTCACAAGCCCAGCAATATCTACAAATTCTATAGATGCTGAGACTGCACGTTGAGATTTGCTCAGAGCAGAGAGTACATGAAGACGTGGATCTGGAACAGCAACAACCCCTACATTTGGTTCTATCGTACAAAACGGAAAATTAGCAGCCTGAGCCTTTCCATTCTCAACCTGCAGAAGATCATACAATTCAGTGCTGCAACTTTAAAAAAACACTGACAAGAACTAGCCGATCAAATGTACCAGTGGTGCATCAAACAACAAAATATTCATCACTCTATGACATGGAAAGATTCACCACCGAACTAGAAGAATAAAATAATGAAAACGAATACAACAAGCAGCAACATTGTAGCCACATGGTAGCTATGTATATGATGTATAACCAAGTTCTTCCACGTGTATCAACTACAGGAACTCAGACCCCATGTTCATACTTAATTGTCCAACAAGCAAGCCAATTGTCAACAATAATCCACTGACTGAAAGTAATTCAAGCACTGGATTTGCGAAAAATAACTTAACGAACATCCAAGCTCCACATCACATGAATGATTATTTCCTCGAATTACAATGGAATAAATCAAATACGCCAAAGCATGTGAGCCTTCAGTGCATCAAAAGATAAGACAGAAGAAGGAAAAATGAGAGGCCTGTGTTCATTTAGCAGAGTAAGACTTACAACGGCGTTGAAGAGAGTGGATTTGCCGACATTGGGGAGGCCAACGATGCCGGCTTTCAAGCTCATGCTTATCTTTGCGGATGAGAATCTCCTCCGAGTGGTTGAGCCAATCAAAAGGGAGGTTTCAGAGAGTCTTGCCCAATGGAGAGTGGAATTTCTCAACAGAGATGACTTCACTGGAAGAGCTATAGCAGGAATTAGATTATGACATGCTAGTCTCGCCATTGCAGCAAACCGAAACAGACAGAGAGAAGTGTGTGGGTGGGTGGGTGTGTGTGTGTGTGTGTGTGTGAAGAGAGAGAGAGAGAGAGAGAGAGATTAGGGGTTTATCTCTGAAAATAGAGGGGAGAGGAGGCTAGCACGCTTGTTAATTGTTTGGGAGAATTACACTTAGGTTCCCTAAGATTTATCATCTAATCATTTAGATCCTCTACTATTTAAAATATTATATACAAACTACCTAAAATTTATACATGCATAACACTTAGACCCTATCATCAAATGTCAGTATATCCGTTTATAAATTACATCCAAACTCTCTGAAGAATATAGATATATAATACTTACACCCCTCAAATTTAAAATATTATACATAGAACAAAAATACTTTAACTAAAAATAAAATATCAACTATTTTAAATTTTACCATTAAAATTTATGTTCTATTGTATCATTTATTGAAATAAAATCAAAAATAAAAAACCAATATTTTTTTAAAAAATTATAATTAGTATACGATTAAACTATCTATTACAATAAAACTAAAAAATTAAATAAGGGGTTTAAATCATTCATAATAAAACATAAATTTTACAGTCAAAGTTCATGTTCTATTATATCATTTATTAAAATAAGGGTCAAACTGTAATAGATAAAATATATTATAGCTTTTATTGGGGATAGTTTAGTAGTTTAATTTAGTTGTTTAAACGACCAAATTAAATTCCAAAAGATAGTATAATTGTATATTAATTATAATTTTTAAGAAAAATTTGGTTTTTATTTTTAATTTTATTTCAATAAATGTTATAATAGAACATAAATTTTGATTATAAAATTTAAAATATTTTATTTTTTAGTGAAGTATTTTTAATTTAAGTATAATATTTTAAATTACATCTAGGTCTTTTAAAATTTATAAGCGTATAAAATTCAAATAACATATATATCACTTTTCGACCTTGCAAACAAAACATAAATATCACAGAAATATTAATCTGAATTGATGGGTGGTTTGAAATTAAAGTGTCAAAATATCGTACAATTCATTAACAATAAAAAATTAAAAGGTTTAAATTTTTTTTAAGCCACTTATTTAGTAAACAAGTGGACCCGATATAACACAACTAATAAACAAATTGATCATGAGTAAAGTTAATAAAAAAAAAATACACAACAAAACTCGTTTATATATTAATTATGCACGATATAAATTCAATATAACACAATTTATTAAATATAAATTAATAAATAAATAAAATATAAGTGAATTTTTTAACACAAATCGACTAAAACTCGACATAAACCCATTTCACTCGACACGATTGACATATTTAAACACACATAATGTAGAAGAACGGCGTTTAGACGATAGTTTTTAGCTACTAGATGAGAATGTAGAAATAGAGGTCTATGAAATGTTCAGAGATAAATTCGTAGTAAAATTTTCTTAAAATACTGTTTAACTTGGACAATCCGATACCAATATATAGTTTGGATTATACCAAGATAGTACAACCAAACCTTCAGTAACAAACATTAAGACAGTAAATTGCTAACAAAATGAAACACTAAAAGAAGAGGAGATAAACTCGTATTCTAATTAAAATTTCTGTGGGAACCAAAAAGGCTTGGTGAACATCGAAGATGAAAATGTAGGAGATTTTTAAGTACAAATTTGTGTTTCACGATTCGGATATCCCAGTAGAAACACCATCAGTGTTTTTTTTTTCCCTCTTAGGCCTCCAACTATTCCAGTTGATCAGGCAAGCATGCCCTTCCGCCGCAATAGGGGTATAACCTGCTGGTGCAGCAGCCATTCCACCTTACAAAGCGTTTTACATCTTTCATTTGTAAAAGTACAGAAGCCAAGCAAGTTAGCTCTGAGCTCACCGAAAACCTGTATAGGCGCCAAGCAAATGATTAACCCAATATTTACTTCTTTATGAGGGCTACCGAAGAAGAAAACACAATGCATGTTTTGTATCGTACCATCCATGCCACAGGACATAATCGCCTTTAGTTAACTCAAGGCCTTTTGTCACGAGCACGAACACGATCATGATCGCGATCACAACCATCACCACCTTTTGTGCTTCTTTGGATATAATCTCGCTCTTCCCCACTGCCCTTACGACCATCGATATCTGCACGTGTCTTTCTATCACCTACCTCATCTCTGCGGTCTTGCCTACTACTATCTGCAGCTACCTTCCGATGACTTGGATCATCCCTCAGGCTTCTTGTAGTATCATTATCCGCACTCCTCTTCCTATAATCTCTCTCAGCCCTCCCATCCCCACGGCCAACATCATCTGCATACCTCCTCCTTGCATACTCACCCTCATCCCTCCTATCCTCATGGCTGGAATTATCTGTTTTTCTTCTATAATCTGATTGATTTCTTTTTCTATAGTCTCCATCTCTGTAATCACTGTGTCTGCTAGCAGATGGACTGGTTCTACTTCCCCTGTACCTCTCATCTTCCACTTGTTCTTTACTTCTTTCAGGTCGCTTATGCGAATCACGTGAGACTCGCTTTCTCTGATCCCCTTCCTTGAGGTCAACGGGACTTTGCCGGTTCACATGCTGTTTCTCAGTAAAACCTTCACCTTCGTGGTTTCTATGTCTCTTATTTCGCCGTGGACTTCCAGCATCATCTCCATCAAATACCATTTCATACCTACAACATATACTTCACTTTCTGAGAGAGAGAGAGAGAGAGAAGATTCATGGACACAAAATAGATTACCAACCTCGAGTTATTATCTCCACCATGCTGAGTGTTATCATGTTTCAGGATGTATTTTGGAGGTTGCTGTTTGATGGTCGGGTCTCCAGTGCAATCTTTCGCAATGTGATCAAGAGAACCACATTTGAAGCACCCACTTCCTGCAGTGAGAGAGAATTAAAAGTGCTGATAGAGAGGAATAATAAAATGATACCTGCAAAATGCAAAGGATTAAAAGAGGTCCCAGAAAGGAAAAAATTATTGTTCAGGGGTAATTAACTCAGTTACCATCAACTATCCCAAAAGTAAACGGTCAGCTACCTTCAACCTCCCCTGCACTTTACCTTATTTATTTATCTGTGGCCCGATTTACACAGGTGACCCTTCTCAATTTTCAACCAACGTTCAGAAATTTATTCATATGCAAGTTCCATTTATTCGTAAAACTGAATTGGAACAAGAAAGGAATACTCCAAGTGATAGACCTTAACTGAGAGCATACATGACAGGCAACAGCGCTTCCATGAGAGATTACAACCCACAACTGAGTACCTCGATTTCAGTTCCTCTATTAGCTTTTTCTCTGAAATAATGTAAGTTCCACTTTCAAAAGTTCATATATCTTTGCAGCAATGTAAGAATTTTTATGGGAATGAAATATTACAACATCAACTGGCGCATCGCTCAATGCAACAGGTGGCAAGAATGGAATACTAACGAAACTCCAGGATCAAGAGTGCCTAAAACAAGTAGAACTAAAACTGAATCTATGAAATGTAGGTTTAGGGCAAGTTTGGTTCGGGTAGAATATGGGATTGAGATTAAACAATTGATTCCATTCTAATTCATAGTGATGGTAATAATTGATCAATCATTTTATCCTATCCTTATTATATCATGTTTGGATCAAGGTTTAGATGAGGCGTGAGTCCATTGTTTTAATCCCAATATCATGTTTGGATAAGGTATTAGTATATGGTATTAAATTCAAAAAGACAAAAGCACCCTATATCAATCAATAACTCTCTAGCCTATTAGGGTACTCTAGTTATTCTGGTCATTAGTATCAATCACGTCTCATTTAGTAACACCTATTATATGGCATTGGTTTATACCAAGAACAAGGTGCTAGCATCGGCCCAGTATTAATAAAGTCATTAGACCAGACCTCCTAACCTTGATCCAAACTTAGTATTAAACATACATCGGACTAATTTAGTCCAATCCTACCCTTAGTACCCCAACTAAACATGCCCTAAAAGGTACTGAAGAGTAAACAATTTCAGTATTTGAGAAGCAAATTGGAGATGAAGTTACTCATAAGATAAAATAAGTGGAAGAGAGGAGATACATATAGGATTCTTGTTGCCAACCAAAATACTCCAGACGAGATTCTTGAGTCTAGTTGAGTTGGTACAACACCCACCTACTGAGGTCAATGATGCCCAGAAATAGTTGAAGTATAAAAATTGTGGTAAGAATCAATTACAAGAGTACCATATTTTCCTCAATAAAACCTGCCGGGCTGTCACTATGACAAACAAATTTCCACCCATTGGCCTATTGCATGCATCATATCACAAAAGGACAGATAAAAAACACCAAATGATAGATATGGTTCCAATAAGCAATCTTCACCTTTACCCATTTTGTTATCTTTACGCCGATACTGGGACCATAGTTTTGAAACACTTTGACTGAAATCGACATGTATCCTTCGGTCATCAATTAAGGCATTATCCATCTGCAATAATATAAAAAAGAAAAATGAGTCTTGCAATGCAATAAAACAATTGATGAAATTTCAAGTAAAAATAGAAATGGAGTAATTTAGTTCTAAATCACAAACATGAGTAAAATAATGTAAACAATTTTCTTCACAATCCCATTGGCAATGAAGAAAGAAAAGCACAGGGTCAATCACAAACAGGAGCAAAACAATATAAGTAATGATCCTCTCACTCTTTCTCTCTCTATCTCAGAAAAGGAAAAGGAAGAATAGAGAAAGAACAGTGCTATGGTCAATTCACTTTCTATTGATAAAGTTAGGTATTTCACTTCAGTCCAAAAAGATAAGAGGGTTATGAGCTTACTTTCAAAAGTTAGGAAGGTCAGTGATTCTAAGTCAAAGTTCAAACCACATGGAGGTAAAAGGTAATTTTCCTCTTTTTGGACATAAAAGAAACTACAACATAATTCAAGCATGAACAATTTGGGGTCGGTTACATAACTCATATTTCGTCATTCTGTTCTATAAATGGTCCTATTTAGTTAAATCACAAACTATTATATTTTTTTTACCCTCTCATTTAAAATTAATTTTCATCTCCCTCTACCCTTTTGCATTGTCTTCAAAAGTCATCGCATCACTCTTTGTCACTGATTCAGCAATAGACCATAATTTGTCTCTTATTGGTGCCAGTACATTCTATTATTTCTAGTTTTACCACACATTCATCTCAATGTACTCATTTTCACCACAATTAGCATATGAGTGTGGTCTCTCATAACTGCCAAACATTCAGAGTCATAAAGAATGACCATTCTTATACCTATTTTATAGAACAGCCAAAGAGGTATATGCTAATCACACTAATACTAGTTACACTCCTCCACTTGGTTTATCATGCTTTAATACTATAAATAAGATCGTTTCCAATCTCATCCTTCATATGGAAAATAAACCTCGTCTTCTGTATTTTACCTCATTTGATTTCTATTTTTATTAAAGTTACATTCCATATTTTCATTTTTTTCATTAGCAAATGATGCATGTCCTCAAATATCATCTTGAATATGTCTAGTCAATTTGTTCATAACCAAGGCAATCGGAAAATGACTAGAAACAAAACGTTGAAATTAGCATAAAGTTGGATGCATTTAGTAACGTTTTTGTTTTTCTGTATTCAAAAAAAATGAAAATAGAATCAATTTTTATTTTTTTCTGTGGTAAAAAGTTGAAACATAAAACTTGTTTGGCTGTAGTTTTTGTCTAAAAAAGTCTAAAAACTGAAATAGAAAACATGCTTGGTAATAACATTCAAGTTGTTTGATAGACAATACAATTCCAATTCAAAAAAAGCACACAGATACAAGCACACACACACACACACACACAACACACAACCCCACACAGTTGCAGATCCACGCACACAATACACAAACACAAACCCACATATACACACACACACTGACACACATACACACAGATTCTCATATACACGCACACAGAAGCAGATCTATGCCTATATATGTGTGTGTATATCTATATAATAAAGTAGAATGATTTTGAATTTTGGAGACAACGAGCGGTTCAAATCATTTCGAGATCAAAAAAAGCATCTTCCAATGGCCGACGATATTTCAAACTGTTTCAAACTATTGACGTCTCAGATCATTTCGATCCGACGTACCATATTACCTTTGAAAAAATTTTTGCCGCTCAAATCTTTTAGTTTCCAAAACTAACATCCCAAAATTTAATTTCCCAACTCAATTAAATCCGGCAATTAAACGATCTCTCATTCATCAACTCTGTCTCTTTCTCCCTAAAATACAGATTATAACTCTTATCATTATTTTCCTGATTTTATTTTCTATGCTAAGAGATCACTTTCTATACTAAGACATTGACTGTCTCTAACACTCTCATCTTTCATGATTCTTTTTCCAAACTAAGACACATGTCTCCCCAAACTTCTATCCTAATGCAGCTGCTCTCCATCTTTACTGTTCATATCACACACACATCTTTACTGTACATATATATAGTACAAAAATTGAAGACATATTATCTACATGTTATATATAAGGAAAGTATCATCTAAACACCATGTAATTGAATCTAAATTCAATGACAACCCCTATAACAATAACTTTTGTTTCTATCAGTAGATAAAAAAATGATTTAACTAAATATTTTGTGAAAATACTAAAAATACCCTTTAATATGTAAATAGACTAAAATGTCATCAAGTCTTTCTCCATTATATATGCGCTAGCCGGCCAACAAATGTAATTTCAATCATTATATTATCCCAATAAATTTTTTATTTTAAAACGTTGTATTATAACGTTGGTATAATATTACTCATCATATTATCACTCATTTGGTTACATAATCAAGTTTTTATAATTTTTATATTTTTTTATCATAATAATTTTTATAGTTAAAAATGATTTTTTTATAATAAAAATTACAATTGATAAAGTCAATATCAAAATCTCATCCATTTCTAATTCTTCTACTATCATATGTCCTCCACAACGTCGCATAACCGCTCCTCCCACATCATACTTCATATATAAAATTTAAAATTATTTGATAAAATTTAATATTAATTTAATAAATTTGATCTTAATTTTGATAAATTTAAATATTAATTTAGTTTTAATTTGATAAAATTAAATATTAATTTATTATTAATTTGATTGAATTTAATGTTAATTGAATAAATTTGAATGTTGCTTTAATAAAATTGAATGTTCATTTGGTGTTAAATTAAAGAAATGACATTAATTTGATAAGGTTAATTTTAACTTAATAAAATTTAATATTCTATTTAATAAATTAAATAATTTAATTTAATAAAATTGAATGTCAATTTAATGTTGATTTGATAAAAATAAATAATAACTTAATATTAAATTAAAAAAATAATATTAATTTGATGAAATGAAATATTAAATTAATATAACTAAATGTTAATTTGATAAAATTAAATATCAATTTTGTGTTGATTTGATGTGATAAAATGTTAATTTAGCTTAAATTAAATAAAAAAAATTAATTTGATAAAATTGAATATTAAATTGATTAAAATAAAAGTTAATATAATAGAATTAAAAGGGAGTGCATTGAAATTTCAGAATCAAGATAGGGTGTTGTTAAAGTTAAGTCTATTTAAAAGGGGTGCTTTTAAAATTAGGTTTATTTATAATGAGTGTGGATAAAATTTACCCTATAAAATACTTAAAGATATTTCTATAAATCAACCATCGTCATTAACGGTATAACTCGACAATCACTAATAGAGAGTGACAGTGAAATTTCAAAATCGAAAGGAGGTGTCATTGAATTTTGACCTAACTCTAGGGGATTTGGATGAAATTTTCTCTTATATCTATACAAATCTATATAATAAAACACATAGGAGTTGAATTTTATCTCCTATACATTTTCCCTCCCAAAAATTATCACATCACTCATTTCTATCACATTCTCAACCATTTAATATTTAATTAATTTATAATTTAACATAATTTTTATTTCAGATATTATTCGTACACGATAGTATAGATTTATTATAAAAATTTATTGAATTACATATTTTGAAAAAATTTTGTCAATACCTTCAAGAAAATAATGGGTAAAAATAAATTTTGAATGATTTAATCAAATAAATGAAAGAAAGAAAAATTATTATTTAATATAGTGATATCGATTTTTTAGAACTCGAATTTTTTATTCTATCGTGCCTTCAAGCACGGGTTATGACTAGTATATATATATAGATCTATGTATATATATACAAATTTATGTATATATATGCATATATACATAGATCGCTTGATAGGGAGAGATGATGTCAGATTGAGCTTGAGAGATAGAGAGCTGAGATGGGGAGCGTCGGTTTCCTCTTATTGACTAGATGGATGCCTTCAGTTTTAGAGAGAGACGAGAGAGACAAGTGAGAGAAAAGAAACAGAGGAGACAAAGGGGTTTTTATAGTTAGCACAAAAAATCCCTCATTTTGTTGTTAATAGGATTTGAAGTGGATCTCGTTCGGGGGTCCTACTGCAGACGTGTTTTTGTTTTTGGATGTTTTTGCAAACATCAATTTTTTGTTTGTAGATTTAGGGCTTGTTTTTGAAACAAATTAGCTAGAAACAAAAGAAAACACTTCCCAAACGCTTTTTTTTTGGCCACAAACTGAAAACAAAAACAGAAAGATTATCAATCGTAACCCAAGTGATTTATAATTCTGTCTTTTATATAATTCACCTACTTGCAAAGAAATAGAAAGAAAGGAATTGTAGCCAATGCAGCCATATCCTCGCCGATCGAAAGGGAAAAAAAAGAAGAGAGAGAGAGAGAGAACACTAGTCGTAATTAATGCATCTCCATGGATACCCCTATTACCATAGCCATAGGAGACCTTTTAACTTGCTCTTTCTCCATATAACAACCATTATTTTTACTAAATCAGCAACACAAAATATTTAACCAAAAAAAATAAAATAGAAATACAAAAAGTATGGCAAGTGCAGCTACTCCAAAATCAAGATTCAGCATACAAGTAACCAGATGAAGATCCCAGGTAGAAGTGTATAGCTTATAGAAAAAAGATTCCGCATAACATAATAAACTTAATATATTTTTATACAGGCATATATAAATAACCAAGTTTGTTGAGGTACAAAAACTAGAGAAGCTTACACAGAGTGAGACTTTGGATGAATGGGGGTCATCAAAATATGTAAGCAGAATAAGCAGAATGAAGCATGCAACTGGGATAAAGGATGTATTGCAAGTTCTGCAGCATACCTTAAAGTATGCTTGTTCGCAAGCCTCTTTGTCCTCGAACTCTGGGACAATGAAACATAAAGAATATGATAAGGTTAAAAATCAACTAGTTGATGACCACATATCGGAAAGGAACAAGGCATCAAGGGAAACAGAGATCATGGAAGTTCCCTAGACATATACTAAAAGGCACACACAAAAGTAGAGTTTTTTAACAGGAGATGAGTGGGTTTTCTTATTTTTATCTCTGTTACAGTTGGATGGGGCTTAAGTCTTGATAGCCAAAGCAATATCTCACTGATTAATATCATTAGATCGTATGCGAAAAGAATAGTGTCGGCACCTCGTCAGATATTGAAATAGATCCCACCAGCCCTAGGATTATTGATGTCAGGACATACAATATAAAGGCAACAAACTTGTATATAAAAGCAGATATAGCTCAAATTAGAATAGTGAAAACCCATCATGAAAGTAATTAGAAAAGGGCAAGTTATATTATTTACTTCAAAAAAATCAAAAATTCAACAGAACCATAAAAGGCTAAAAACATAAAAATCATATACATTTACAAAATCAAATTGCCCAAACAGGCCGAGTTACAGATAAGCCATATCATAAAGCTTTCAACTCCATGTTTTGGTCACTTAATTCAGAATTCGCATGATTATAAAAAGCACAATCAGGAGAAATACACAAGGGCACCTAAAAGCTTCCTTTAACAGCAATGATTTTGAGTAATACGTTCAATGTTTAAAAGATCATTTCCCGTACCTGATATAACTCAAAAGGTGTATTTCCATTTGTTTTGCCAGTCCAATTTTCATCAACCTATGCTTTATTTAGGGTCACTACAAAATATAGGTTTGTATGCTGTGGTGAACCTGTATGCTGGCTGCAAGCCTGAATCGTTTGCCTAAGGACCAGTAGGTGAACATGTTTGGCCTTTAACAAATCACAAGCAGAATCTTCCACAAAAAGTTGCGCCCTTTATGGTCAATTGCCAGAATTCAAATAATAGAAAGGCAAAACTATCGCAGGGTGGAGGGGAGGGGCCAGAAATGAAAATGCAGATATTTTGCCTCCAACATACAATGAAAAAATCACATGAATGTTACCAGAAATGATTTTCCAAAAAGCCAAAACTCACCTATGAAAGCATAGCATAAACTATCTCCAGTTTTATAATCCCGGATAATCTCAGCTCTGCCATAGTGCATTAGTGATGAGAAATGTGGTTACACTGAAAAAAAGTTTTGGAGAACAAAAATGTCCAAGCATTCAAGAACTTACAATGTTACAGTTCCAAAACGTGAAAAGATTGTATTTAGGTCCTCATCCTGCATCAAAAGTAAACAGCCAGATAAACACAGGAACTTAAGATGACAACCCACCGAAAAAATAGCACAGAAAGTAATAGCATCTTAAATACTAAGCCATAGCAGGCAATTCAATCTAAGTACCAAATGAGAAGACAATGGAACTCACTTCAGTTACTGGATTTAGTTTACAAACAAACAGTACATTATCAGGAGGCTTTATCTCAGCATCTGGAATGTCCCCTATCTGTGATGCAAATGAGGAAATTATTATAATCATATACATTAGTACTTTGCAATGCATGAACATGTCAATTTGGATGTTAAATACAAGATGATTATCATGTATTAAATGCATACACTTTCGAGAACAACTGCACTGGAATGTGCATCCTTTGAACGAAGAACCTCCTCAAGCTCTGCTGTACCTAATTGCTCATCCATGGGAACCCAGTCATCTTCAAGTCGCACATCATCATCAACCTGAATACAATGTCAAACGAAGTTGCAACTATAAAAGAATAAAATTTGGCAAAGAAGCAACTATATGTACAAGAACCAAGCAGAAATTTAAATCTATGGGGTTTTGTCACAATTATGCATATTTTGAGATTGATTTCACAGATTTGTGTCCAGCAATACTAGCCATGTCCTGCTAAATGGTGTCCATTCCTGCGCAATCTCAAATAAATCACTCTCAGATTTATTTTTTGTCTTTCTTTTACAAGCATCGCATTTCTTGTTGAGTTGTTATGTTCACCATAAATTGCATCTGTCTCATTAATGCAGATTCTACATCGATTTTGGTATCACTTCTCATTGATCCCCTCCCTAATCCCTATACTCTATTGTCTATGACTTTATATATGGTACACATTACACACCAATCCGCTAAGCAAGTATAGGAGAATCAACTGGTGACATTATGGAACATCTGGACACTATCAACATCAAAATAGATGAACTACAGACTTCTAAACCAGTGTGAACAACTTAAAACTAGGAAATAAGAATGCGTTCACCATCGGATAAGCTGAAATATCGTCACCATTTCTGAGTCCTGACCACTTTTACTCGCCAAATAAAAAGTTTGTTTCTTAAATCGAGAAGAACTCAATAAAATTAGTTAAAATAACAGAAGCCACTATATTATTTTTACATGTCTTGTGAGATTCTGGAGATTTGTGATAGCCAAATCAAGAGAAGAAAACTCCTACAATCATCAATTACCTCTTCTTTTGGTTTTCCTTCAGGAGAAACATCCGGAATCAACTCCACTAGTTGTGAAGGATCATCAAAAGGATCATCCAGTACATAAGTGTGTTTGATTCTGTTGAACATTAGATTCATTAGATACAGTAGCAACAAACTAACATAAAATTAGTACGAAAGTATTAGAATATCATCTAGGAACAGCTATAAATTAGAATACAAAGAAAAAAGAAATGGAAATGGACCGGATGTTTTTATATGGCCTGCCCTTCTCGTCCACATAAGCTTCATTTATCCTATTTAGAGTCTCAAACCCTTCCGCAATCTCCCCAAAAACCTGCAAATTTGAGAATCCTTTATAAACCATGTAATTTTTTTATTTTTTTTCTAAGCCATGCAAAATATATACCATATGAGTTAGCTATAAATCACCCATGTATATCCATGTTCAAATCAGCTTGGAACGTCCCTACCACATGGACATTATTAAACTAAAAAATGGCCACATTGAAAAGACACCATTGATTACATGAAAATGACGAACAGGCAGAATATAAGATAGTAAATCATCACTAAACGAGGATCCTGCCACTGTGGGATCTGAGAAGCATCAGATGTTTATACACACAGGCTTACCCTGCAAACAAAGAGGTTATTTTCACAACTCAAACTCTTGACGTCCACATCGTAATGGAGCAACTTTACCGTTGTGTTCGGGCCCACTATTTGTAAATAAAACAAAAACGATAGTAAAAGCTTGTAGTTTAACAGAAAATATGGCCTTAGATAGCGTATAATGGAGAAGTCGACCTCAAATAGTTAGAAAAGGCTTCATTGATTTGAGGTGTACTACTCATAAATCCCCAAAAAAAAACCTGCATACAGGTTCTTTCTGTAAAGGATCCTTGCTCCTTACTAAAGGCGTTAATTGGAATCCTAATTAGCCAAGAACATAAGCCCTCTACATAGGAGAAAAGACACCATTAAGAGAAGAATGTAAATCATTTATAAGACACCATAGAAAACCTTCGTATGTCACATGCAGGGTTGCATCCCCCTAGAGAGTCTTGTAGCATCTAGTAGAATAATTTTTGAAAAAAGGGCTAGTAAAAACCAATTTATAGCAGTAGATAGAAGCACATCTTCCAAAACCAGAAAAACAACAATAAATTTCCCAAACTCTAGCTTGAAAATATTGATCCAACCAAATGGAGCCTCAAAGAAATTTAAATTTGGTGACAAGATTAAACTACTATTTTGGATCAGATGTAATAAGGCTGCTCCTCATTTGGACCACTCACTACTCTATCAAAACTCTAAGAAATGCATGCTCCAACCCATTACCAATTTTGGCAAAGATTTTCAGTGCACATTATCCCATCAGAATACACTTAAAATAATGTATGAACAATATTGCATTTCTGTATAACTGTCCCAAATCAAGGAATGTTCATCACTTTTTCACTTTCTTTCCGATTTATAAATAGAGCAAGCATTTATTCATCAATGTAACCACAGATTTTTTGGAAATATTGGCCTTGCCATCTCCAATCATAAGATCCACAAGCAATTTCCTTCCACTTTCACCTGTGAAAGGAGGAAGGAACTGTACCCGTACAACCTAGAGGAATAGGAAGCACCATTGCATAGACCAATGACGAAACTTGGAAGAAACCAATTGAAAAATCCACTAAAAAGGCTTCAGATATTCGTATTTGCAAGTTCTTGGAGTACAGCGAAAGAGTGGATGGTGCACACAAATCAAAAAGTTAGGTATCATGTTTTTGTCAGATGGGCCAAAATATTAATAGCTTAACTGCTGAAGGGGGAAAAAAAGGAAAACAAAGGAAAGAGGCGAAAGTTTAATAAAGAAGAGGAAGATTAGCAAAGACAAACTGCAACAAAGAATATTCTAGTTTAGAAAAACTCACAGTGTGCTTCCCATCAAGATAGTCAAGATCATCACGCAGTGTGATATAAAACTGAAAAACAAATAGTCCAATGAATATGAGCATGAGATATTTATAAAGCTTAATTTCCAGAACATTATTAAAAACTAAAAATAAGAAAAAGATGTAAGCAGAGGAGAAGGGGGAAAAGGTAGAAAAAAATTCTGTGCTGGGAAAAATATATGAATGAACGAAGGCAGAACCTAAACTTCAAAAGATTTTAATATTCATATCAGAAATCCAAAACAAAGGTAGAACCCCTAGATATCTTGATTTCCGAGAAAGCATTTGGGCCCAAAAAAAAAATACCTGAGAAGCATTTAGATTTTCCCCTGCACTGGCCATGGATACTGTGCCCATCTTGGAATGCTTCAAATCCAAACGAATCTCATCACTAAAAAAGCGAGCCTGATCACCATATAAGAATCTGAAAGAATAAGATGGAGAATGTTCACATGCCACATACGATAATATATAACAACAGAATAGCTTAAAGATTAATGAACAGTTTTAGTATGGTATGAAAGAGATTTTGGTGTAGGTTGGAGCAAGAAATCACAACTGTCTAAACAACTGACATAGGAAACTGAACACTAAGGCCAAGTCTCAGGCTCTCAGCCTTCAATCTAAAAGATAGCCAGCAAATTACAGTAAACTATGATGCTGTAGAAGGTGTCATTTTTTCTCATTTATCAACCTATGCAAATTTTCCTTACTTGTAGATAGAGTCACCACTGGACCCTGTTCCGGTAGGATCACCTGTCTGTGCTGTAAAATCCTTCTGAACTGTGTGAAATAGGCACCCATTGTAATATTTCATCCTGCAACATCCCCAGGGGAAAAATCATTTCAAGGATTGTAGAATTTTAAAATTTCACCAATTTTTAAAAATTCATCATCGCAGTGATAGCTCCCTTAGTTGGTTCCACAATTATTTCTAGATATGGCAGGTTTTGATATTTAATTATTTATCAATGACAGAGGAGCAGGGTCTGGCTTTGAATACGGCATAAACTACAGTAGAAGATTCAGTCAATCGTGCAAAAGCCATATACCCCCTAAACAGAATATCCACTGGAAACCAGTGTACCACTACAGAATGTATCAGCTATATGATTAGCCATGAAATATGCCTAATTGTTCCATTATCTGTTGGTTAATTGCATTGGATTGGAAGTTAAATGTGCGTGAATGATGCATTTCAAGTTTTACCCCTATTTTTGTAGTGTTTGCTTGTTTTTCTGGTAAATAAGTCAAAATATTGAAGTAAAGGTGCAAATATGCAGAATGAAGAAAGCTTGAAATGTATGGAAAAAAGAAAAGCCAGAAAAGGTGGTGTGTTCGACGCCATTTACAGATAATTAGCCATGTTCGGAGGCAATTCCCCACGTTTAGACGCTATTTCCAGAGAAATTGGTAAGTCTGGACACATGAAATGCGTGTTTGGACGAGGATGATGAAGTTTGCAAGAATCGGACATGCATCCAGACTCCAGATGCATGTTCCTTGCAAAAATAGCCACGTTTGGGCGCGTCTAGACACGAGAGATAGATTTGTCAAAACGTAGTATTTTATTCTGATTAGATTTTTAGATTCCCAATCCATGTAGAAATACTTGTAAACCCTAACTTGGAGATCTATATTGCCTTTAGCCTCTCTTTTCCTAGTTTTTGTTTTTGTTTCATTTTATGGATTGCTAAATCCCCATCCCCAACTAAAACTAAAGGTGATTATTCCAACAAATCACATTATTTATTTTTTACCTGTGTTATTTAATGTATGATTTTTTCTTTTAATTAATTAATTTTTTTAATAAAATTTTTACTCCGTAAAATCTCTTGATTCGTTGTGTCAAGCACATCGAATGTTTTAGATTCTCTGTGAGTCAAAAAATTAGTTTTGCATATTTGAATCAATTAATTAGAATTTTCATAAAAATAATTGATTTCTTCTTTGTGATAAAAGAGGTTTTAATTATTGGAGAACTTGATTCATGGACAGGGTGAATACTTGTGATCTACAATTAAATACTTAATTTTATTCAAGTAATTTATCTATTTTACTTTTGGATATGTTTTCAATATTATCACTGTTAAATCTTCTAATTAAGATCATTATTCATTTGGTTCTTAATCACTATACATGCTTAATGTCTATTTCTGGATACCAAACTACACGATTAGCTATTTATAACTAGTTCAAGTGACTACAAAGACATGACAAACTTAACATGCAACATTAGATAAAAGAAGCCATAGATAAGGGGATCATTTATCTTCTTTTTTTTTGTTTAAATTGGTGGTTGATGGGTTGAGTAGATTAATGGAAAGGATAGAAATGTGGAATTTGGTGGTGGATTTTGTGATGAGGAAATAATTTTTGTGTCTCATTTGCAGATGATACGATTTTTTTTTCCTTAAGGGATGAAGAAAAAATTAGGAATTATAAGAAGATTGTTGATGTATTTGGTTTAATTTCTGGTCTCAAAATTAATATGAAAAAAAGTCAAATTGTGGGGATCAATTCTAGACAAGGAAAAATTGAAGGATTGGCTAGAGGGTTAGGGTGCATTGTGGGTGGATGGCTGGTAAAGTATTTAGGTTTTTCTTTAGGTGATAATCCAATGTCAAAATCTTTTTGGGATCCAGTTGTTGAAAGAATTAGAAAAAAAACTTGATGGGTGGAAGAAAGCTTTTATTTCTAGGGGGTGAAAGGTTAATGTTAGTTCAGTATGTGTTACCTAGTATCCCTATTTATTTCTTGTCTCTCTTCAGAATGCCTTGTCCGGTGGCAAAGAGAATTGAATGGATGAGATTTCTTATGGGAAGGTTGTGGGGAAAAAAAAGAAAGACCACTTTGATTAGTTGGGAGGTTATGTATAGACCTAAGAGTAAGGATGGTTTATTGCTGGGGAATTTGTTGAAAAGGAATATGGCTCTTGTTGGGAAATGGCTTTGGAGGTTTTCTTTGAAGCAAGGTTCATTGTGGTATGTGTTTATTAAGAGCAAATATGGACTACAAGCTAATATGTGGGATACTAATAGGATTGAAAGTGGTACATTCTGGAGCCCCTGGAAATTTATTTCTCAAGGAATTCTAAGTTTTTGTCAACGGGTTAAGTTCATTGTGGGATATGGGGCTAAAGTTCGATTCTGGAAGGATATTTGGAGGGGAAAGCATTCCTTTATGAGTCTTTTTCCTTGTCTTTATCATTTTTCTACTTATCATGAGAACACCCTAACATCCTTAGCATTATCATCATCTTTTCCAATCACTTGGGATTTTGGGTTTCAAAAGAATCTAAATGATAGAGATCATTTAGAGTTGTTATTACTTCTTTCTATACTCGATGGTGTTTCATTGAATCCAAATTCTTTGAACAAAAGAGTTTGAATTTGTGACTCTTCAAATATCTTCTCATGCAAATCTAATTTTGAATCCTTAATTGATGACTTCATTTCTATTATTTCTTCTGTCCTTGAAGATTTGGAAGACTAAAGTTCTTTTAAAGGTCCAAATTTGCGCATGGATAATTGCTCCTGGTAAGATAAATATCAATGATGTGCTTCAAAAAATGAGACCGACAAATTGTCTCTCACTACAATGGTGTGTGATGTGTAAAGCTAATTCTGAAAGTACAGATCATTTGTTCTTACTTTGCCCTTTGGCACTTTCACTTTGGAATAAATTGTTTGATTTTGTTGGCATCTCTTGGTTCTCTCCAAAGATGATTTCATCTATATTTTGTCTGGATTTTAGGGATTGGGTGGAAGTAGAAAAGGAAAAACTCTTTAGCATTGTGCTTTGTTTGCTCTTATATTGGTTTTATGGATGGAGAGAAATGCAAGAATTTTTGAAGATAATCAAGAAGAGTTTGAATCTTTAAGGGTCCGAAATGCATTTTTTGGCATCTATCTGGGCTCCATTAGAAAGTATTTTGAGAACATTCTCTTTTTTGCATTAATTCCAGCTGGACGGCAACTATTGGAGTGGATTTTTTTCACTTTGATCTTGCTTTTGTGCGTTGTTGGTATGTCCTTTTGGGTTGAACGACTTGTCCACCATGTTTTTTTTTGGTTCTTGTAATACATTTTTCTTTTTTATTAATAAAATGGGTTTTTCTTATCGGGAAAAAAAAATAGTAAAAAAAAAAAAGACAAACAAATACTATGTATTGAATAAGTACCAGGAAACACAACGAAGCTAATGAAGAATCCAAGGAAAAAGGTGCTAATAATCAATTCCTATACAGCATGGGCAAATTTGACATGAATTAATGAAATATTAGCATGGTTATCACGACTGTCGACCAATTGGAACGCAGCGATTCCAATAAAACGCATTACACAACTCATGAAACAAATACATGCAGGAACAATAAAGGAGAACATTATTTTGAGTTTCGGAAATTGAACTACTTATATCCCAACATTATTCATCGCCCTCCCCATCGAGTATATGAAAAATAGGAAAGAAAGCTTCAAGTATAATGAAAACAAAACAAAATAGCAGCAAAATAAAAAGTTACTGAGAAATCAGGGCTTACTTGCAGAGTTTCAGAAAGTTCTTGCAGGTCAAAGGGCAGAGATCTGTGTGCAAATCCAAGACCATGTCTCCCAAGCTAGTAACTATCAGGACCGACATTTCTTCCCCTCCTTTTGTAATCCAAGTAGATAATCAACCAAATAGATAGGATTCAAACAGAGTAGTATATGTACAGGGAGGTTCGAGATGGTAAGAGGCCGATGGGTTGCAGAGTGCTCGTGCTTGTGCTTCTCGATACAACTGAGTGACAAGGGGTTTTTCCTTTTTCGAGTTCAAGCCATAAATTCGCCCTATGCCGAAGTGGTAATCCATATATGAGTTTTTTTTATTTTGGACAAATTGCACCGATGGCCCCAAAAAATTACCACTTATTAAACTGTGACCCTTAAAATTTTAATTCTATCGCATTAACTGCCGTTTTACCGCGTAGCATGCGACTAATATTGTGCATTTCAACTAATTTTTCTCTTTGATCCAATCAAAAACAGACTATTCACAAAGAAACTAAGATATTTATTAAAAAAAAAATTGTATAGCTTAGTCCCAAAGAATTGTCAATATTCAAAAACAGAACATCTGAATTTATAACTAAGGGCGACTCGAGCTAATTTGAGGCCTAAAGCGAAAACATTAAATAAATGTATTTTTATTTTTAATATTATTTTTTTTAATTTAATTTATTTTAAATTTTTTATGTGGAAGGGAAACAAAATAAATATGTGTTAATATTGTCAATAAATAAATTTTAATTTTTGTTTTTGTTTTTGTTTTTGTTTTTATTTTTTATCACAACGAGAAAGAGGGAGTGTTTAATTTCAACTTTTATTTTGTTTTTATTTTTTTTACTAGAGAGAGAGAGATTGGGTTAGAGTAAATATGAGTTGATTTTTGAATATTTTTTTATTTTTTTAATTTTTAAGTTTTTAATGTTATGGATTAAATTATAATTCCAATTTATTGCAATAAAAATTTTGTTTTGATTTAATTTTTTTTGACTTTTTTGTAGGGCTTAAAATTTAATGGATTTAATTTTTTTTATAGGCTAGTAATGTACCTAAAATTATGAAACCTTCTAAAAATTTGAGGCCTAAAACCTATATTTTTTTTTTTGTCATTTGAAAGCTCGTATACCAAATTAGATATAATTGTAAAAAGTATATAGAACAAAATATTTAGAAAAAAAATACACAGCTAAGGTACAAAAACATAAATGTCCATTTTGTTATATTTTCTTCCCTAAAAATTTTAACAAGGCATTTATTAAGCACTGAAATTTAAGGTTATTTAATTCAAAATCTATTATCTTTCATGCACCTTGATTCAAGCGTTTTTTTTTTAAATTGGTTTTATTTTCAAATTATATTTATGCATTAAATATTTACTACTACCAATTTTATAGAATAATTTTAATATTCTATTTGTTTTAGAATATATCACTTGTTTGAATTTTAAAATTTGTTAATATCCGAACTTTATAATATTGTAACAATACACTGTAACAAAAATAGTATTTAATAATTTTGTGCATGTGGTAACAAATTCAAAACGGAGATTGACTGTTTTGAATGAAATTATACAAAAATATATGTTTGACAAAATGTAATAATATAATATTTGTGTAAATGACTTGTTACATTGTTTTTGTGACACTGTTACACTATTTGGATATTAAATATAATTTGAAAATAAAATCACTTTTAAAAAAAAAAAATCGTATGAATTAAAGTGCATTAAATATAATTTGAAAACAAAATCACTTTAAAAAAAATACACATGAATCAAGGGAGGACATATAAATATAGAATATTAAATTTCTCCCATAAAACTATAAGATGTTTAATGACCACTTTTCAAATAAAATACACATGGATCAATGAAAGACAAAAATATTACAAAAAATCAGTAAAATTCAAATAATGTACTTAGATACAAATAAATATCAAAATTAATAACTTAATTATCCAACATTTTTTTCTGTATATTTTTTTACAATTAAATTTAATTTAATGTATCCTCTTATAAATTTATTTATTTTTTATACTGTTGAGCCGATCCTGTTTATAACTCATATTTATTACTATTTAAGCTACACTCACAAAAAGTTGGCGGGGCTTTAACCATTAAATCACATCCATCTATCCAACATAAACAAAAACCCTTTTCTTATTTGTTCTTCAAATGACGCTGTTAAAGACTAATTCCTTCCGGCTGATGAAGAAGCTGTTGAATTTATTACAAGGGAAAGTCTCCTACATATCATTTGATTGATTCAAGTTTCCGTGCTACTCACCGTTTCTCAAGGTCAATGAGGGGGTCAAACGTCATTCTAAAATTTGCAATCTATCACATTTTCAATCTTGCACCGTCTTAAATAAATAAAAAATTTATTATAAAAAAAAAAAAAGAGTCCACCGTTCAATTGCTCGCTTCGCTCGCTGCAGTTAGATCCCATCATCTAACAACTAAGCTAAGTTAACGGGAACTCGATCAATTCACCAGTAGCAGCAGTAGTGTCAGCGAGGGCTCGTTTCACTTTCACACTCTATGACTTTAGATGTTGGAAGAATTACAAAAAAAATAGGGGTGATAGAAGGTAATTTTTAGAGAAATTCTAATGATTAGTTATTAGTTAGTAAACGTGTGATTATGTCATACGGTGTGATATGATTAGAGTGATTAGGGACTATTTTTATTATTTTTTAAATTGCCAATTGATACAATAAAATTTTAGGTCCAATAAAATATATAAAAATTTAAGACTAAATTACTATATAAAAATAAAACTATAAAACCGGGTTTTTTTGTCTAAACAAAATGGAAAAATAAAAACTTAAAATGCATTTCAACCAAACCATTTATGAAAGTGGAATACAATATTCTTTCAAATTTCACACACAACTCCATGACAAAATTATCGCTCATTTTTTGTGATACTTAGTCGAGATCATCCTCCATCTTATTAAAAAATTGAATATTTGAAATAACAAAAAAAAGTTTGAATTAGATCACGGGCTACTATCTTTTAGAAAAATAATCGAGAGTGTTTATACAATTGTATACAAAAATAGGAAATAATTCATCAAATAAAATGGATGTAATGTCATTGGTAACTGTGACATTTTGCATACGAGTAACAACTAACCTATAAAAAAAAATTATTACCACTATACAAAGTTTTTAAAAATTAGGGAGATAAATGTTTAAATGAATAAAATTATGATCCTCAAATTACTAACCTATAAAATAATTATTTTTTTTAGTTCAATAGTAAAAAATGTTTAGACCAGTTTACAGCACTCCAGGACTAAGATATCTATGAAAGATAGATTCTTAAGAAATTGTTAAAATTCGAACTTAAGATATTGTTTCTATTATCATTTGAGTTATTCATTAAAGTTAAAAGAATTTTTTAAAAGCTGGTGCAAAGTGACTCTGCCCTGTTGCTGTTCACATGTTAAATTTGTAGAAGATTCTTAATGTTTGCCATAGTTGTTAGTTCTCAAAGAATTATACCAAAACCTACAAGGATATTCCTGGTCAATTATGATTAAAAGAATTATTTGTTTCTATTAATTGGTATTTTCTTTTTCTCGGTGATAATAAAAACAAACAAACTAAGGTGCTCTTTGTAGTTTTTTTATTTTTTTGGGGTATTGATATAGGTTTGGTTCGGTTGGGTTTGCTTCGGTTCGGTTCGGCGACTGATATATATACGCACCGAGAATAATTATGCACTGTTTATCCAACACCTAGGTCCTAGGGTCCTTCCCCAACGAAAAAAGAAGAAGAAACTAATTCTTTCTTACTCAACATATGAGATTACGTACCCAATCAACTGTACAGATCTTTCATCCTCAGAAACCCTAGAGTTTATCGGTTAAGGGTTTCACACCTCATCTAGCTTTATTTTTTTAAAATTTTTTATATGTGGATTTACATCTCGCGTTGAGTTTGTTGCTGTTAGGGTTTGACATTCCAGAGTTCTTGATTTAGAGAGAAATTTTCAATTTCTTGGTTTTTCTGAGGTTTAAAGAAGCATTTCTGGGTTTTGTTTTTATTTTTAGTTCAAGTGTTGATATGGATGGATTTGAAGATAGAGGTAGTATTCAGGAGTCGTCCAATCCTCAGGATCTCAAGCAATTCGGAGCGAATTCGTCAGGTTTACGGCGATTTCTCAGCTTAATTACTCTTTTTAGCTTCAGAAATTTGATGTTCCTCGTTTCCTAGATCCGGGTTGCATTAGTTTTGAACGTGTGAACTTATTTATCTTTTGATTTCCTTTGGTCGTTTGTGGTTCCAGTTCCAGTTTTATCTTCTAGTTGCATGGCGCGAATAAACCCCATAACCGAGCTGGATAGTTCAATAACCCTCAGTTGCTTTCTTGGGTCTCAAACACCGAAAGGTATCAGAATGAAGGTTTTGTTGTGGTCGGATTTATTGTTATATCAATCCAAATAAATAAATAAATAAAAGATTTGTTGTATGTTTTACCTTGTATAATTATTTACTGAATTAATTGGTCTGTGTGATGGTTATTATGCGCTGATTTATGGTTGTTTTGGATGCCTTAAATTTTTTTGTTCGATTTGAGGGTTAGAGTTTCGTCATTCTGAAGTCTGTTTGGTAGGGTGACTTCTTTTGGTGTGTCTGTTGATGAGACATCTATGCTTTATAAGGAATACACGCAAATAATACCCACAACACAAATGGTTGTCCTTGGTTTCAAGGTTTAATATAAGATTTTGTAAGGGATAGAAATCGCTACGGATCTCATCCCTCCACTCGAAGGATTTCTGTTGGCGTGTGCCAAAGCGACCACCCAGTAGCCTTTACCCCTCTTCGTCCGTAGGAGCTTCGTCCCATATCGGAAGTGAGTCATCTCCCTCCTCGCATATAAGCCCTTACACTCAAAGGAGGAGGTACCCACTAGCGACCTGATCAGGTGCCTAGTGGGTACCTCCTCCTTTGAGTGCAAGGGCTTATATGCGAGGGGGGAGACGACTCTCTTCCGATGTGGGCGAAGAGGGGTAAAGGCTACTGGGTGGTCGCTCTGGCACACGCCAGGTCAGCCAAATTCTTTGAGTGGAGGGATGAGATTCGTAGCGATTTTTACCCCCTATAAAAAGGCGCTTTCTGTAAGGGGTAGAACTCTTTACTAAGGATTTCGGTTTGACTTGGGTTAACCCACGCGGGCGACCCCTCAGTAGCTTTTACCTCTCAGTACCCGCAGGAGTTTCGTCCCACATCGACTGAGAGTCGTCTCCCCCCCTCGCATATAAGCCCTTGCACTCAAAGGATTAGGTCGCTAGTGGATACCTCCTCCTTTGAGTGCAAGGGCTTATATGCGAGGGGAAGAGACGATTCTCTTCCGATGTGAGACGAAGCTCCTGTGGGCGAAGAGGGGTAAAGACTACTGGGTGGTCGCTTTGACACACGCCAGGTCAGCCGAAATCTTTCGAGTGGAGGGATGAGATCTGTAGCGATTTCTACCCCTTATAGATTTATTCAAATTAGCTTTAAGTGCTATGAAATTGGGTTTTTCCTTTATGTCAACTTTCAAGTGGTATCTGATTCTAATGCACTAATGAATTTATATTCTAAGTAGATGCCTGATTTTCGTCAATATTTTACACCTAGTGTTACTGGATTTTATCTTTACTTAATGTATTCTTTGATGCAGAAGATGCAGTATTTGATGCGTCACAATATGCATTCTTTGGTAAGGATGTTGTTGAAGAAGTTGAGTTGGGGGTATTAGGAGATGAAGAGGATGATCCTCCCCCAGTAGATTTTGAAACGTTGGATGATGAAGAGTATCACATGGATCGAGAAGAGGTTACTGCCTTATTTTTTGTCACTTAATTGAGTTGGGGGTTTTCTTCATTTGTTGTTATTTATCGTTTTTTTTGGGGGAATACATTTCTGTAAAATGTTGTTATGGTATTTCATGGAATGTAAAATGAAGTTTGATATTGGGTTGCCAAATATTATATTCTTTCCCAGAAAGTAATTGCCTTATATGATATTGGTTCAGTCTTGATCATCTTATGATTATCGTACTGGGATTTAGTGCCTCATGCTTAAGCTTCTTCATTTTTTTTGATTGTCTGTTTATTTTCCAAAGATGTGTTTTGTTTTAAGCTCATTTACATTTGGCGCATTGTTGGGAAACCTCTATTGCAATTCCATTATTATGTATTAGTTTTTTGTCTTCCTCTATGAAACTGCTTTTTTTGAGCAGTTATCTACCTAAGAAGTGCGAGTTTACTGATGGTGATTACTTGGTAAACAATGGTGATTTGGATGTGGATTGACAACTCCTTTGACTATGGTTCATATTTCATATTGGTGTCCTTGCTCTTGGGAATGATAATGCAAATAGGATCCCTGTAGGTGTATGATTCAGCTCCTTTTTTTGGATTAGTATGGCTTGATTTAAGTTGACACTGTTGTACACTATATGTTTCAGAAAGTGAGATTTAATTATGCTGAATGTTATTGAGAGTTTTGTTCCATGGTGTATGATTATGCTTTGAAATTTTCCCAGATACCTGGTATCGTATTGTAATTGAAATCGAGCCTGACATGTGTAGGCTTCATAGCAATCAGGTAATTACAATTACCTCCTGACCTGATGGATTCGATGAGGTTATTGCAATTACCTGGTATATAATGGTTTCACTTTGCTTGTGGTTGTGAAAATGCTGCAGTGAATGGGCAAATTGCGTTGGTTTTGGCTGCATTTTTCTCATGGCAGTGTTGTTGTTACCACACCCATGTGTTCTTTGATGCAGTTGGATTGGTTTTTTATTTTTTCTTAGGCTAATGGAACCGTTCTGTTTTGCTAGTCATAGCTTGTTGGTAATTTTGTTTTTTAGATGGGCAAAAGATGGTATTCTGTTGTCTTCAGCACTCTGGATTGTTATTTTTGATTCTTGGATCGTGTGTACTGTGTACTGTTTCATGGTTATTAAATTGAGGCTATTATTTTTCCAGGATATCAGTTACATTGTAATGTTTTCAACATTTATATTTTGTATGAACTTCCATAAGATTTGCAGTGGATTCAATAAAAATCTTATAGTTAAGAGAGTACCTGATTCTTCCATATACTGTTAGTACAAATCAAGACACAGCAAGTGGTAGAGATTTTGCCTATGGATTTCCCGTGCGTGCTATTTCCAATTCTAAATGGTGTTACTGAGTTGGGTGAAGCACCCACTATGGCGGACACTAAACTTGTGTACCATGAATGGGAATTCATTGCTAAGAGATCATAAATTTTCTCTCTCTCTCTCTCTCTATATATATATATATATATATACATACATACATACATACATACATATATACACCTATCTAAATATATATTGGGTTGCATGCACTTATGCACACTCTAAATTGCTCATCTTTTAGGTTTTTGTATGGGTGTGGATGTGATTTTATTTTAGCATTGACTGCAAATTTTTATATACTTCTACCATTAACTGGTGCGACTAATCTTTTTTTCTTTTTTAATTTTCAGGGTGAAGTATTAGGGTCTTTATCTGAAATTGATGATCTTGCCAGCACATTTTCAAAGGTTGCTTATCGTAAATGCTAAACTTATATGCATGAACATCATGGAATAATTTCCTTGGAGGAAAGTAGCTTTGAATCCTCTATTCTGTTCTTTAAATCTTTGTCCTCAATGTTCACAATTTATTTCCAATGTACTAAAAAAATTGATTAACAGTTGGGAGTTAAGTGGAGACATTTGAAATTCTAATGAAGAGAAGGGTTACACCTTTTTCATACTGCTATTGCGCCGTTCTTAGGGACTGGAATATTTATTTCTTTTCTGCTTATCTTTTGGTATTAGTACACTTAGAAAAATAGTAAGATTGATTAAAGTTTTGATTTGAGGTCTGGTCATTTTATGGCTGTGTTCTTGAGTTTAATGTCTCGTTGTGATACATGTGATATTGGGGTTTGTCAATAATTTTGTTATCAGGGCTCAGTTGATTGTAATTGGGACTGTAATTAATCTGATTCTTGTTTAGACTTTTTAAAAAAGTTGCAACATGGTTCACATATTTAGTTTGTTTACTTGTTTTAGCAAGTGTTCAAGTTTCTCCATTATTGTGTAGTTAAGGAGTATATGAGTAGGTTTTGCAAGAAAGTAGCTGGGCCTTTATGGGTCCTTCAATCATTGCAGTAAATAGAGGAATCCATTTGTACAAAAAAGCTTCGGCTATTATTAACCCTAGAGATATGAATATCATGCATACTAGGGATACAGTGTAGACTTGTAGTACACATAGAGGAAAGTTATACGTGGCATACATGTGGTGTGCTGTAGGAGAAATGTTGAGTCTGTCCAGCTCCAGCACAGTTTCTAGGAATTATTAATGTTATGAGATTTACAAAAACCAGAATCCAAGATTAAAAATCTGTTTGGTTATTGTTCTTGAAAACTGCTTTCATGAAATTGACTTATGTTGTGGAATCCTTACCATTTCGTTATCTGCGCTGTGCCTTGATTGCTAGAAACAATATTGAACTAGTTGAAACTAGTGTTCTGAAAAGCTTCATTTTTTGATTAGTTTTTTTTTTTTCTGACAACATGTTTCATAGAAATCATTTTTGGAAAATTGAACCAACCAAGTCCTTTGTGTTTTTGCTGAATTCCATGGTATTCACTTCCTACTGCTGAAAGCAACAGAAATGAAATGTGATCTCAGCCCATGGAAAGAAATAGTTTACTATTTGATTTCTCAGCATTATGTATATGGTATCTTATTGGTGGCTGGTTATTTTTTTTATCTATGCAGGTCCACTCTGATGGTCATTTTGATGGTGTTGCCTTATTTGTAGCTGCTGTTTTTGCCCTCTGTTAATTTATACTTCCTTGTAATCTTGATACTACTTTTTGACTTCCATTTTTCTTTATTCACAGTTGAACAAGGTTGTCAGTGGCCCAAGAAGTGCAGGAATTATTGGTGATAGGGGATCCAGAGGAAGTGAGTACTCTGCATGGCATTTGAAATTTTCTTTCCTAGGATTCTGTTGAATGCGTATGTTAAAGAGTTAAATGATCCTAGCCTCATGTTATCTCTCTCATTAGGGTTATATTTGAGCTACAATTCCTTGATAATCGTGAAATTGCTAGATTAAACTTTAGTCTATCTTTGTGGATGCATGGGATGTGAATGTGTCATATCGGTATCATAATGCATTTACTCGAGAGAAGGCTTTGTATGTACTCCGTCATACTATTTGTCTTGATTTTTTGCTATTTTTATGTTCTTTTTTGTGGAGGATTGAAGTTTATTGATTATGATGAAAACTAAAATGTGTGTTCGACAAATTTGTGGTGGAAAAAAAATCTTTTGACTCAAAGAAGTCAAGGAGTTTGGTTATTATCTAACGGGTAGCTAGGATGGGTGTACCAATAGATTATTGTATAGTTGGTATCATATGGTACATTTGCTGTCAGTATGCAGTCACAATTCCTTTTTTGGCAGTTATAAACACAACTGAAAATTAGGCAATTGTAGCTGCAAGAATATGTAAAAATTGCAGGCAAATATGGTCTTGTAATCAGCCAGCAAGTACATCAACTCATTCTTCACTGGACCGGGGCGGGGGCGGGTAGTCTCCACCCCGGTACCCGCGTCCGAAATATTCGTCCACCCCCGTTAGTTGTTGAAATTTTAATCCCCGTCCCCACTCCTCCGGTAAATTTTTATCCCTGTCCTTGTTTTTGTCCCCGCCCATAATAATTAATTTCTATGCCGTTAAGAAAAAAATTATAACCAAAAACCATAAAACCTCACAAATGGTTTTGCAACAAAAAATGAAAACTCATTATAGAACTAATGGATCAAATATAAAAACTCAAAAAAAATAAAATGTATAACAAATGTGTGTTTCACTTAATTATTTTATTTGTTATATATATTCTTTTGGGTTTAGCCATTTTTTTTTGGGGCGAGGGGGGGGGGGATAAGAATCAGTCCATCCCTGCCTCCATCTCCACACGGTTTTATATGGGTATCTGATATCCATATACGTCGAATACGTATGGTTTATCCTTAGTCCAAACAGGATGAGTTTGGACGAATACCCGTTTTTCCTCGGTCTACTGTCATCCCTTCAACTATTCATGATAAATTTGGATGCAAGTATCAGTTTTTTCTGAGTTTCAGTAAGTGTGGTGCTCTTATTGCTCCTTCTCTCTCTCTCTCTCTGTAGCTTTTTTCTTACTGATCTTTCCAACAGTAGATTTTTCCTTAAATTGTTGATGGCTCTTCCTAATTTTTTTGGGGCTCCCTTGATGTCAGCTTTTCATTTCTTTCCTTTATCCCCTTTTTTACTTTTCCCTTTTCATTTTACTTTTATGATTGTGTGTGCATGTGTGATTTTTTTCTTTATTGTTTTTGCGGGTTGTTTTAAGACTACTAGCTTATGCTTGGGAAACCAGGAAGCTGCCTTCTTTCAAATAACCACAGCTGCTGCAATTAGCTCTGTCAATGCAGCCATTGTTGAAGCTGCTGTTAGAAATTCATTTATCCACTGAAGCCTTGCGTTTCCACCATTCAAGCATAAGATGGCCTTACTTTCACATTATTTGGAGGCTAGTGGGAACCCCACACTGTCCCACCACCGGCAGCCTATAGGACAAGGATGCAAGCCATCGACCCTGGTTTCGTACTTAAGACATGTTAGATGGTTTTTGGATGCAATTATTGTCTGTATTGCAGGCAGTCTATGTATATTCACTATGATGATTAAATAAACAGAATAAGATTGCTAGATGTCACTTTGTCTACACCACACATATTGAAATTGGGATTTGATGATGCCATTTTGAATAGGATTCTGTTCAGCTGTCTGTTATTTTGGTAGTACTGACATACATTCTCAGGTATTATGGTTGAATTTGATTTTTCAAAATTCTCTTGCAATAGTATAGGCAAAATGGATCCGTTGGCAACAAATGTCATGTTCTGGATTACTTCTTGGTGGGGAAAGGGCATAAAAGACTGTTGTGGGCTGAATGGTTGGCAATCAAGCAAGGGAGCTGGTCTTGTATATTTATCACCCTCGATGTTAGAGATTCTAAACATGATTGGGGTTATGGTGGTGTAGGATGCTGTGTGCAGAGTGAAGTTAGTGGCTAAGGTAGTGGACTAATGTATAAGATCAAAACGGTAATATACCTTTGACGTGGTGGGTTTAGAACTAATATGCGTTTCAATTTTCCAATAAGCACTTGAGTCATGTGAAATTATGCATACCAGAACAATTAATATCTTTATGTTTTCAAAAGTACCATGATGTTTGTTTAGTAAATTTCTGGACTGGGTATCCAGTTACAAGGAATTAAAGCACGTACGTGCCTGACATGAAACTTTGGTTGCCTTCAGTTGCACTGAAGTATTTTTATTCACTTTTAGTTGAAATCGTTCCCAAATTATCTTTTGCAATTTGTATGCTTACCTTTGGAATCAAAAAATTCGTTTATTTGTACAGCATAGAAGTTTAATTTTTTCTCGCTGTAATCTGTGTTGTGTGATTTTTCAGATCCATTAAAAAAAAAATATCCTGCAATTGACAGGAGTTAGTTGGTCTGTTTTTTTTCCCCTCACTTTTGTGATGTTTCAGGTTCATCTGCTTCTGAGTGGGCACAAGAGGCAGATTTTCCTAATTGGTTTGATCAACATGTGTTTGAAGCTGAAAGCACTCAGGAAAGCAAAAGATGGTCATCGCAGCCATATTCTACCTCTGCTCATCTTATGGAATCAAAACCCTTGTACAGAACATCTTCGTACCCCGAGAAGCAGCAACAACACCACCAGTATCCACGCCAACTCCAACACTTCTCCAGCGAGCCAATTCTTGTACCAAAATCTTCTTTCACGTCTTATCCTCCCCCTGGTGGCAGCTCTCAGCAAGCTTCACCGAACAACCAGTCGCACAATTTTAATATTCCTTATCATCCTGGTGGACACCAGATGCCTCTGTCGTCGCCCAACCTCTCTCCCTACAATAATCTTCAACGTCAGTTGATTGCCTTACCTCATGGCACACAATTTGGTGGAAGTTTGCATCATCTTGCTCCTCCCGGTCTCTCAGTTAGTAATCGGCTACAAAATCAATGGGGTAACCGGACCAGTCTATTTCCAGATCATTCCAGCATCCCAAACAATCTGTTGCAACAGCAATTATCTCATCAAAATGGTTTAATGCCCTCACAATTGATGCCACAACAGCAACACAGACTGCACCATCCATTTCAGCCATCCTTTGGCCATTTGTCAGGGCTGCAGCCTCACCTATTGAGTCACCATCTTTCTCCACTCCCTCAAATGATGAATAACTTCGATATGCTTGGGTTGGCTGATTTGAGAGATCATAGGCCGAAATCCATGCCAAAAGGGAGACATGGCATGCGCCATAGTCAACAGGGCTCTGATACCAGTAGCCAGAAGAGTGACAGTGGGGGGCTGCAGTTCCGATCCAAGTATATGACATCTGATGATATTGAGAGTGTTCTCAGAATGCAGCTTGCCGCTACACACGGCAATGATCCGTATGTAGATGATTATTACCATCAGGCTTGTTTAGCCAAAAAATCTGCCGGGGCAAAGTTGAAGCACCACTTCTACCCAACTCACCTGAAGGATAGTCCATCCCGAGCTCGTGCTAATGCTAAGCAACATGCTTTTCTCCAGATTGATGCTCTTGGGAGGGTTTCCTTTTCTTCAATTCGTAGGCCACGCCCACTTCTTGAAGTTGACCCACCAAATTCATCTGGTGCTGGCGGCACCGAACAAAGAGTGTCTGAGAAGCCTTTGGAAAAGGAGCCTATGCTTGCAGCTAGAGTAACTATTGAGGATGGCCTCTGTCTTCTTCTTGATGTTGATGATATTGACCGGTTCCTAAAATTCAATCAGCTCCAAGATGTTAGTGTCCAGATGAAACGGAGAAGGCAAGTCCTGCTAGAAGGCCTGGCAGAATCACTTCAATTAGTTGATCCACTTAGCAAAAATGGCCAAACAGTGAATTTGGTTCCCAAGGATGATCTTGTATTCCTAAGGCTGGTCTCTCTTCCCAAGGGCCGAAAGCTTCTGTCTAGGTACCTTCAGCTTCTCTTTCCAGGTGGTGAACTCATCCGAATTGTCTGCATGGCCATTTTCCGTCATTTAAGATTTTTGTTTGGGGGCCTCCCTGCTGACCCTGGGGCAGCAGAAACAACTACCAACCTTGTGAGGACCGTTTCATCTTGTGTTGGTGGCATGGAACTTAAGGCACTTGCTGCTTGTCTTGCTTCGGTGGTCTGCTCAGCAGAGAATCCTCCGCTCCGTCCCCTTGGAAGCCGTGCTGGAGATGGGGCTTCAATTATTCTTAAATCTGTTCTCGAGAGGGCAACTGAACTCTTAAGAGATCCTCATGCTGCTGGCAACTGTAGCATGCCTAATCGGACCTTTTGGCAGGCCTCGTTTGATGCATTCTTTGGTCTTCTTACAAAATACTGCTTTAACAAATATGATAGTATTATTCAATCATTGCTCACGCAGGCCCCACCAGACGCGGCTGTCATTGGGTTAGACTCAGCAAAATCTATCAGTAAGGAAATGCCAGTTGAACTTTTGCGGGCAAGTCTGCCTCACACTAGTGAAAACCAGAGAAAGCTGCTATTGGATTTTGGGCAGCGCTCTATGTCTGTATCTGGATTTAACAGCCATGACGGGGAAAGTGGTGGTGGTGCATAAAGTTTGACTTGGTTCTGTAATATCGTAAAGCCACGAATGAACTGGTTCGTGAAGAATGTGACATGTTATGGGTGAGCAACATTGTGAAGAGCATGTTTTTGTCATCTTCCATACTGCCTTTTATTGGGAAAAAAGTTGTTGAAGTGCATGGAGTTGAAGCACGATGGCATAAAGGACGCAAATATCAACCCTAAAAGTAAGTTTTACATGTTTAGTTGCACCTTATCGCTGTGATGCCACTTTGAAGAACTTTAATTTTTAAGTTGGCTAGCTGTGTATTGCAGTGGAAATTAACCCCCTCTCCCCCTTTTTTTCTTTTATTTTGACTAGACATCTTATGTTGATGCGCTGTTGTGCAATTCCTGATAGTAACAAGGAACTTAGAGGTTAGAAATGTACAGTGTTGGACCAGAAGCTTCCCCATGTTCCCATACTGTTATATTTTGAGGAAGTGGGAAGGTATTTGTATGTTTGTGTCTGGCAGGTTGATGCTGTTCTTCTTCGATGATGTGGTAATTGGGATAGCGCAAATGTTGGTAGTAGGTTTTTGAGATTGAGTGGTGGATCATGGTTGGTAATCTTCCTCCACCGCCTCCTTGTTGGACACGTGTAGTAGTGGCGCATTGCATTTTTGTCTATCTAGTCTCTTGAAACTGGATTGCCATGTTAGAGGTTTCATCATAAAAAAAGTAAATCTCTTTCAGGTTATCATGTGAAGGAACGATTTTTTAGCCAATTCATGTACCTTGGGATATATGAAGCCGTGTATTGTTTCCATTTCATGTATTTTGGGGAGTGGGATTGGATGGACGATGCCTTGCCAACTTGGGGGCGTTGTCTATATTGCTTGTCGTCCCAACTTGGGGTTGCTATTTATATTGCTTGGGGTAAATTACATCTACCCTTGAGATAAGGCGGACTGTAATGTTGTAGTTTAGGTCTTTGAATGGCATGTTTTAGCTCATTTGTTGTTAGATTTGAGTCCTTCAATTTCATGTGTTGGTTCATTTTTGGCAGATTTAATGTTATTAACTATATATGTATGGGTGGGTATCTTGTGACATTTTCCCAAGGATTTTTAGTCAAAATTATTGGGGACCAATACAAATCAAGTTCCAACTTGAAGGGTACAGAATAGGTTTAACTAAATGTATTACACTATCACAAGGTTATGATTAGCTAAACAAAACCAGCATACGAATGTATTTATTATATGTATATTAGTTAGTACTTGTTGTATGTGCTCTGTGGACTGAAACTGGTATAGAGGAATTTCTCCAAGCACAATTACAACTCTCGATTTCCCACTTTTCTTCTCGGCATATGAGTGTGTGGCTTTTGAGTTGGGGATAGCCTATGCATCGGCTCAATGTCGACCAACCCACCGATGGGAGGTTTGAGTCTTGGTTCGTTTCCCTCACCACCCCGTTTGTGTGATCTTTTTTTTTTAGGGGGTGTTTGTGTGATCATTATGTAAGAAATTATACCCACCAAGTCCGAAAAATGTGTTGTTATTGAGGGTACAAAGTGAGAACTTTTAAATTATTTAAGGTATAAAATACAAATCACCATAATTTTAATGAAACGTCTAACGTGCACATTACATACACTGATCAAAATAGCTGCATCTGAGATAATTTATTAAAGTTAAACAACATGAATTACATATGAGCACCATTCCAAATTGTGTTTAGGAAAATGTCACTATCCATTTAGTTGATATTGGAACACGTGATTCTTAGTGGCCACTGATATCACCGTGGTCGAGACAGTTATGGGTCGGTGCAAGTGTTAAAAGGTTTATGGTGGGCAACCCGACCTCTACTTGGGCACTATGTTATAAATATTCGCATTACTTGTCCACTGTGAGACATGAAATTTCTGGCTCTGCCTCTGGCTCGTGAGAACATTTTACTTTATATACCTATTTTCTGTCCAAATGATTGGTCCTTTCTTTATAAGCTGTTTGAGTTTCTTCAATACCATTCTCTTATCTTGTTAATCCCTTTCTATTATTTTTGGATAGCCACGTGTATCAGTTTCTTTTAACTACTCACTAGGCATAGGCATTAGCTAAAGAATGGTGCTCATATGTATGCACCTGCAGTTTACTTTGGCATTTAAGGTCTGATTTCTACAGCAGGGGTTCTAATCTGTAGCTGCTACTGGGTCTTATTAGGGGTTGGAAGAGTTACATTATTATATTTCTGGCCTTTCATCAAATTTTTTTTTTTTTTTAACCCCGGGCTAGCGATGCATGGAGCATCGCCCAAGCCTTTTATCAATTGATTTTACTTACATTTCCTGAAATACATTGAGAACTACTCATTTTTAAATGGATACGTAAAGGCATTACTTGTTTGAAAACATACTGTACCAAATGAGGTGTAAATTTTGATCGAAAAAATGTCAGTTAAAAAAAAAAAAAAAGATTTATATGAACATTTTAAGATCGATCTCGCTAGTATCTCTCGACGTTTTGGTTTGATTCTCGTTACTGTCCTTGAGTTCAACTTATATGTGTAGTTAGCGAGTAATTACAAATATCTAATATACACTTTTTATGGGTATATTATAAGTAGATGATAAATGAGAAAGTATAATAAAATTGGGGTAAAAGATGAAAACTCAAGCGTTTGTTTTTTAACATGAACTTAAAAAATTGTTCAAAGTTCAAATTATTTAAAAATTGTGCCGATCTCAAAATGAGTTGAACTTAAAATAATTGAGTGTAAGTAACTCGTCTATTTTACATATAAACGAGTGAAGTCTTTTAAATTTATTTTTTTAAACAAACTTAAAAAATTATTTAAATTCACGAGTGAAGTTCAAATCGAAACTTATATAAATTGAGTCAAAGAAAGTCGATTCACCCGTCAGTCTTATCGACCTTCCACAATCATGAATTGAGTTTTTTCGGTGCTGAATTAATTTTTAATTAGCAGAAAAGGAAAATAAAAGAAATTCCATGTCGAATTTTAATGGCTCACGCACGTGTGCCTTTCAGGAATTGCCAACATTTGATTCGGATAACAGGGAATGGAGTTGTGGACACTGGCACACCGGACGGAACTTAATCATAACATTCGACGATAATTGCACAAGAACGAACAAATCTCTCTCTCTCGCTCGCTCAGGAATCCGAGACGCAAAGAATCAGTGAAACCCAGAGTACGTACGTTCATCTGCTTCTTTTTCTTCTTACTTGTGTAGTGTCTTGATTAATTACATATAGTGGAGTGGATGACTTATCCTATTCTGAGTACATCAAAACCAATGCACAATGTACATATCTCTTCTTTCATTTCTACCTAATAGTTAGTCTCTCAACAACATCAATTTAGGTTATCAAAGACCTTTACTTAATTTTCATTCATGGCAACCCTGCTAAATTCAGTGTCTCCTATAACAAACCTATCTTCAGAGCATGCAAGAAAATCTCGTGGATTGTTTTCCCACATACCCAATTTCAATTCTTTTCCGCTTAGTAAGGGTTTTTCTAGAGTTTTAGCTTCTACCCAGATGGCCGTTGCTCCCAAGGACAGTGTTTTCACGCTACCAAACTGGAGGTCTGGCAAGAATGACCCAAGAACCAATGACCTTAGGCTGAATGATGCGTTTTTGTATTTGGAATACATGGTAGGTAAAGGTCACAAGCCTGATGTTGCTCAAGCTACTCAGTTATTGTATGATCTATGCAAGTCCAATAAACTCCGAAAAGCGACAAGGGTAATGGAGATGATGACTAGTTCGGGTTGTAATCCTGATGCCGCTTCATATACTTTCTTAGTAAATCATTTGTGTAAGAGGGGGAATGTTGGGCATGCAATGCAATTAGTTGAAAAAATGGAGGAATTTGGGTACCCAACCAATACTGTTACTTATAACTCTCTTGTTAGAGGTCTTTGCATGCGTGGAAACTTGAATCAAAGCTTGCAATTGGTAGATAAGTTGATGCAGAAAGGGTTGGTTCCAAATGCATTCACTTACTCAATCTTGCTTGAAGCTGCGTATAAGGAAAAGGGGGTTAATGAAGCAATGAGGCTCTTGGATAATATAATTGCCAAAGGTGGAAAGCCTAATTTGGTTAGCTATAATGTTTTGTTAACTGGTTTGTGCAAGGAAGGTAGAGTTGATGAGGCAATCAAGTTGTTTCGGAATATGCCATCAAAGGGGTTTACCCCTAATGTTGTAAGCCATAATATTTTGTTGAGGAGCTTGTGCTACGAAGGACGGTGGAAGGAGGCAAATGATCTTCTTGTGGGGATGGTAGGCGAGGATCGTTCCCCCTCAATAGTTACCTACAATATTCTGGTCGGGTCGCTGGCTTTCCATGGCCAAACTGATCGTGCTCTCAAGGTGTTGGATGAAATGTTTGCGGGGGGGCAGTTCAAGCCCACTGCTGCTAGCTACAACCCAATAGTTGCCCGTCTCTGTAAAGAGAGGAAGGTAGATGCTGTGGTTAAGTGTCTCGATCAAATGATTTATAGGCAATGTAATCCTAACGAGGGAACATACAATGCTATTGCTGTACTCTGCGAGGAGGGGATGGTGCAAGAAGCTTTCTCCATAATTCAAAGCTTGAGTAAGAAGCAAAACTCCTCTACACATGAATTCTTCAAAAGTGTGATTTCAAGCTTGTGTAGGAAAGGGAACACACATCCTGCATTTCAGTTTTTATATGAAATGACAAAACGTGGATTTACTCCTGACTCCTATACCTATTCATCTTTGATCAGAGGACTGTGCATGGAGGGAATGCTGGATGAGGCCATGGAGGTATTCAGCATCATGGAAGAAAGTGGCCACAGGCCTGATGTTGACAATTTCAATGCACTTGTACTTGGGTTATGCAAATCTCGGAGAACATATGTGGCCTTGGAGTTTTTTGAGATGATGATTTTTAAGGGTTATATGCCTAATGAGACAACCTATACCATTATAGTGGAGGGGATTATCTATGAAGAAGAAAAGGCGCTGGCAGCAGTAGTTTTAAAGGAGTTGCATTTGAGACAAGTGATGGGCCGAAATACAGTGGAAAGGCTTGTTATGCAATATGACCTTGAGGGTTTATCCTTGTGAAAATCTTTCAGTAAGAAAGAAAAGAGTTTCGGAATTGAAAGGAAACCAAGCAATACAAACAATACAATGGAGTTGCGATTGCAAAAAATAAACTCTGTAGGAGCACAAGTGTCGCTGATTTGGTGGGGAGCTTTGTACATTAATGGCTAATCTACTGTAAAAATGGATAATACCCTAATATTGTGATTGATATCCTATAAAATCCTTTTGAAGGTGGCCAAGGGCAAGTTCAGATTGGCTACACTTTACTTTCCTTCATTCGCGTTGATTACTTTCCACTTTTTCTTCTTTGGATTAAAGCATATCGATTGTGTAAAGGACTTGTGTCTTTCAGATCTGACATCAAAGAGTCTCTGTCCTTGTAAATCTTATTGTTTTGTCTACTCTAAAATCAAATACATCTCTTGCTGCCTGTTGCGTTCTGCTATAAATTTTGATTGTTAGCAACATTGTGTGTTTAATTTTCTGATTTCATGTGCTCAAGCCCTACAAAAATGTTATCACCCGTATACTTGCTTTGCTTCTGCATGTTACTATGGCCTCAACAGAAAATGCATTCTTGTAGTATACATGCTACAGCCCTGTTGATTGTAACATATGGGCTCTTTTCAATGCTAAATCAGAGTTGTTTGTCTTCGATTGAATTGAATGCAATTTGATGATATCTGAAAGCAAATACCCAGGGGTGTGAGAAGGGGATGTCATACGGCCCCAACTTACTTCATTAAGGTATTGCAGTGTTAAAGATGACTTTCTTATTTTCATCACTCAATATCATCTTGAGCTGATATTCAGAAGACTAGTGAGGTACGATTAAGGAAGTTGATTCACGTAGCATTCAAGTCAAACAGATCGTCATTGAGGAGCTCTTGGTATTATTAGATCACTAGGGTGGATTCGATAAGCATCGACAGTTTATCACTACCAGTAGCTGTTATTATTAAAACCATAGTAGATTCCATGTTCAGTTTCAGTCATTATTAAACGTAGATTAGGTTTACAAAATAGCAGGTAATATTGAATTGATAAGCAATTCCTAGTTCCTACGTACCCTGCGTAGGAGTTTATTTAGCTCCCTCGAGTAGAGTGCAAGATTCTTCAGAACCAACCAGATGGTTCTGCATTTGCAAGCCTACTTAAGGATAGTACAGGACTGTCGAGGAAAAGCTTCAAGACTTGATCGTGCTGCTACGAGCTATGACAAAGAATCTTAACCTACCCAAGTTCAAATTTCCCTTTCCAATATATTCATATTACACAAAATACCTACATGACAACATCAATCCTAAGAATTGGACGGTCGCACATTTGTACCACGGACAAATACAGGAAATTGTCCGACACACAACCTGTATCCTGCCCCATTCCCAAGCACAAGCTACACAGCAAAGAAACATCTTCGTCATGACATCAAGGCCTCGGTGAAGAACATCCGCACCTTAATTTCTACAAACAGGTGCAACAGAACCACTTATAAGTAAAGCTATAAAGGAAGTAACTACCACAGAAACCTATCAAAAAGAATCCTCAAACAACACCTCACATGCTACTAACCACAATCTCCGGCAACACTTGTACCAACCTAGGCATCATATGGAAGTCATCCACCAGTCACAGAAACAGAGAAGACTTCTACATCATATTAGGCCCTGCATTCCACCACAAAAGACATGGTATTCCTCACGAAATTCCAATGACGAATCAGACCTAGAACTCTTGGAGGATAAGCAAGTCCCATGATACTTCCATGTAGACCAACAATAAGTTCAAGAGTACTGATGATGCCTCCGCATCTATGCAACAATTGAAATCAGAAACAAAAACCTCTAAAGTATTGGAAGAACCACACTTAGCCGCAAGGGTTACAAGAACTGTCTGGCAAACATATCATAAAGAGTGAAGCATTGTATCATTGAAGCCTTCGCAAGCATCATAAAAATGTATCATTGTATCCTTTAAGTATTCCAGAATCGCAGCAACAATGTGCACAAGCCACTGTCAACATGAATAAATTATAGAAAGACACATAGGGTTCAAATTCAAGAAAATGTTATAAATCTCATAAGCACTTCAAATTCGTACAAGATAAAATCAAAGGTAGTCGGGAGTTTATGCAAAACACCTCAAGCTAACTTGCTTAATGGTACTACAAAACTTGACACTAAAACCACTGGTAGAAACAGATTTAAACAATATTAAAAAGATCCCTCTTCAAAACCCCCATCTACCCATCAGATTTGACACACAACTCCTGCCAGCTGATGAAGAAGCAGACCGAGGCAACTTAGAAGAAGCCATCCTAATGCCCAAGTCCGCTATCTACTTGGATCTTTGTCGCATCTTGCGGCGCTTCCTCTTCAGCCTCCTCATACGCTTCTTCTTCCACTGTAACAAGCCATGAACTAAACATCATCTTCCAAGTGAAGATACGAGAACAATACATTCAATTATAGAATCCAACAGCACTTTCTTTCATTTTGGTAACATAATTTCCAGCTTACAAGCAGGATTGGCACTACATGTGGAAAATTTTGAATTGAGAAATTAATTACATGAGCAAGTCTTTTACATTATAATTACTAACCTTTTAGATCTTTTGTTACCATTTGCAAACAGACCAGAAGCAACAAAGGTAGCAAAATGAAAAAAAAAAACCAAAATTTCTCATTTTTCTCAAATAATATGAATTTTCAGAAATTTGCGAAAATGCACAAATAGAGACCAGAAATCTTTGAGATAACCATATGGCACATACAGTGCCATAAACATGTGATCAAAAATCAATCACACAAGCAATATCAATTTCCTATTGTATGCTTGGTTTCGAAAAACAAGGTGGATACAATTAGGACTTAAAACTCAAAATCAACAGATATTCTACGAAAATGAAAACATTACATTTTTTGCAAAAACTAAAGCAGACATTCACACATTTCTAACCACCACGCAGATGCATCCCAGGCAAATTAGAATCTTAAGAGAATCCCTACACAAAGTCTTCCATCATTCATTTCAAGTTACTCATGAATCATGAACGGCACTAAATTTTTGTCCTATATCAATGTGACTGCAGGTATGACGGTTTCAGGTGTGCCCACACTATAAATTCCTAGCAATCTGTTTTTTTTTTCAGATGAATTAGTTTTACAGCCAACAAATTATAAGATAGGCATGTGAACGAACATAAGCCATATCATTCACATAAAGATGCCGCAAGTATCAGTTCTACTCTTCTATGAAAGAAATTCATCAAACACGAATCCATCTAACAAAAAAACATAATAATAAATTGGAATCATCTATACACACGGAGCTAGCATACAGATATTCAGAAACCCTAATAACTACAGAAAAACAATGCTATAGCGCATAGAAAGAACATATAAGAAAATTAATGGCTAGACAGCAAGATTAATGTGAGATCCAGAGCACCAAAACGAAAACAAATATGCTGTACTCTTCATCAAGAGAAATCGTACAAAAAAAATCACCTGCGTAAACCCTAACATGAAGTTTAACAAAAGGAGCTAAACATACAGAAAATTAAAACCCTAACCTTAGCCCTCATGCTTGGTTGAGCGTTTCCCTAGCTTGTCTCCACTGATCGCCGAATTCTCGAGATATATACCAGGTCTGGGCGATTGCGGGTGGGACTGTAAAGAAGCCATCTTTTGATATTTATATGGCTAGGGTTTGAAACTTGAGCCCTACTTTCTGTGGGCCATACGGGCCAAGGTTTTTTTTTGGTCATTTAAAATTGGGCTTCATTTTTGGACAAACAAATTCAAATTTACGTGAAATTTCATTCCTCGTGCACCGATTATTATGATAATTTAATTTTAACATCAACAATACGACGACGGTACTTAATATTAGTCACTTCAATAATCAGATTTTTTTAATTTTATTGAACCTTTAACTTCATATTCGAATGTCAAATTAAAATAAAAGGGGGTCAAAATCCCTATTTTACATGAGTAAAAAATGTTATTTGAATTTAAAAATTTGACATAATTTGTTGACATCATGATGTAATTTCATAAGAATTATTAGATCAATACCAAGTTCCAATGTTTGATGGGGTCTATAGTCAATCCAAAAGTTACAATGAATTAAGTCAACAAACAGTAATGTTAGACTGATCAAATTTAGTGCGCAAATGACATATCAGTTGACTTGAACTTTTTTGATCAAGTGTCATGTCATTTAGGCTCCTATAAAAATATCAAATAATCAACTGCTATATTATTTGAGCTTTAAATCTGATCCTAAATTTTGATCAATATAATATTACTCATCAATAAATTATGTCAAATTTCAATTAGACTACTCATTTTACATCGGCTGAACCACGTGACTTATGACACATAAAAAGTTGGAGGCGAAAAATACGAAATTTCCGAATGTGATACTGCTGCATCAAGTAGATACATGGTTAATAAATCTTGATCTTACAGCAACAACGTGGTGGCTGTAGTTTAGTGGTTAGAATTCCACGTTGTGGCCGTGGAGACCTGGGCTCGAATCCCAGCAGCCACACGTTTTTTATTTCTGTTTTTTCCAGACTTTCCGTTCACAAAGCATTAATAGGCCATACGAATCCAAGTTATTTACAGCCCACCATCCGGCCCAGCCCAATCTAAAACCTTTGCCTTCACACTACTAACAAACCCTCGAGTCTTCCGGATTTTGGATCATGGGTTAGAGAGTAAATCTTCCGGAACCCATGTTTGGCAAATAATATTGCATCTCGGGGTTTGAAACTCAGCCCGATAAACGCTTGGTCATAAAATTCAAAAAGGGTGAGTTTCATATGTGGGTTAATGAGTTTAACATTCAAATGACATTTATACTCCCATATATCATATATACCATATATTACCTTATTTACACATGATTAAGGGGCACAATAGTTATTTATATACAAATATATTATTATAATAATTACATATTACTGCGCATTTCAAACATGATTATGGAGAACATTAAATATTGAATCTCATGATTCCCATCTTTGAGTCTCATTTTTTGGTTTGGAAGGGTTTAGACAAGACAATCCAAACTCCTTCAAAAAAACATACAAAACGGACCTAAGAACAGTTAATGTGGAATCTTGTTATGACTATTGACTGTCTACCGATTTGACTATAAGTAAATAAGAGTCTCGTTAATCTCGAAACTAAAGTTGAAGAAACCGTGATAAGCCTGCCAAATAAACAAAAAAGAAAAGAAAAGGGTTTACGCCTTCAAACCAACTCCGAATGTCTCGATGTTATAGCTTCTATCATTTGGGTCTTATCCTCTAGTTAAGAAAAAAGCTAGGGTCTTTTCTAGTTGAGAAGAAGGCTTTGAAGTTGGTGCTCACTCTCTCTTTTCTTCGTCAAGATTGGAAAAATTC